TCACCTCACTCTCTAAAGCTGGTGCTTTCTCTGGCTCCCAGCTGCTGAGGTTGGGTGTTCTGTCTGTGCTCATGCTGTGTATCCACACCTTCCACATTGATTCAGGCATCCCTCTTTCTTCCATAGAATTTCCCCTGTGGTTTTCTCTCCAACTCTCTCCTACAAATGTACTTCCTCCACTTTTTTTTTTTTTTTTTTTTAATGCTATTTACCCCTAGCCTAGAGCTGTAGGCCCATTCCCTATTCCACCATCTTGGAATCCTTGTGCTACCATTTTCCCATAAATATTCATATATTGTTTGCTTTGGAGCCTTTGTATTTTTTCTAAGAGATTCTCTGCCTTGACATTGTTTCATAATGGTGACTATCATTCTCTATTTATTTGTGTAGCAATTCCTTAAGAATTGTTTTTAAGGCTGGACGAGTAGTGTCAAATTTTTTCAATGCCTTTCTGTTTTCAGAGGTCTTTGTTTCACCTTCATTTATAAATGAGACTTTTGATAAATATAGTGTTCTGTGTTGACAGTTTCTTTCTCTTAGGTCTTGGAATATGTCTCTCCATTCTCTCCTAGCCTGTAGGGTTTCTGATGAGAAATCAGCTGTTAATTGGGAAATCTCTGAAAGTTGTATAGTGTTTCTCTCATGTACATTTAAGAATCTTTATTCTTTATTGTTAAAAGTTTGACTATAATGTTTAGTGCTAAAGATCTTTTCTGATCTTGTCTGTTAGGAGTTCTATGTGCTTCCAATACTTGGAAGTCTCTTACTCCGAATTAGGGAAGTTTTCCATTATTTCACTGAATAGGCCTTCCAATTTTTTGCTTTTCCATGCCTTCAGGAACTCCTTAAACATGTTTGTTTGGTTGTTTGATAGTATCCTATAAGTCTCAAACACTGTATTCAGTTTTTCTACATTTTTCTTCTTTTTTTTTTTGTCTGATAAAGATATTTCTAATGATTTATCTTCTGGGTCAGATATTCTTTCTTCTGCCTCACCAAGTTTGTTGTTGAGGTTTTCCACTGTATTTTCTATTTGACATATTGAATTCTCATTTCTAATATTTCAGTTTAATTTCTCTTCAGTATCTGAATCTCAGCAAAATTTTGAATCTGCATCATGTATGGATTTCTTTATCTCATGAATTTGCTTCTCTGTTGCTGATTAATTTTATGATTAGTTTTTAAATTCCTTTTCAGGCATTTCATCAATTTTTTCATCTTCACATCATAATGTTGAAGCATTGTGTTCCTTCCTGAGTCATGTTGTCTTTCCTGTTCTTGTTTCATGTATTTCTGCATTTATTTTAGGCATTTGTAGAGACACTTGTTGGTTGTCTTCTCTGATAGGTTTTATCCTTGAGCTATGCCTATCTGACATCATGGAGTGTTTGCTCCTTCAGCAGATATGCAGAGTCATGTACTGGGTGGGGCTGGGAGCCCTGGTCATGCTCAAGGGTAGGGTGAGAATCCAGGGTGACAACCAATTTGGGTATAGTTGATCTCCTCTATTGTCAGTGGTGGGGAGGGAATGATCACACCTCTTGGTGTAATCACACCATCACCTCCTCTGTTCCAAGGTATTCAATGCCCATGGTTATTCCACAGTGGGTACAACCCCCACCTATGTAGACACCTGAACTGCACAAAGGATCTGTGTAGCACTCAGATCCCAGAGCCCTTTGCAATGGCTCACCCCAGGCAGTCAAGGATGTCTAAGCTTCTGGCACCAGACACTGATTGTCCAGAGACCCAACCATACCCAACATCCTGTTGTGCAGTCACAGAATTCCTACAGTCACAGTGCACAAGTCTCCCACAATCATAGGGTGCAGAGGATCCTCTCAGCCTTGCAAGCCTGCCCAATCCATGAAGAGAGCAAAGGCGTTCCTTGAGCCAGCTACCTGCAATTGCTGCACTTGGCAGTTTGAGCGCTGGAGCCTGTGATATGTTGAGAGGTTGGGAGCACCTCACAGTCCTAGGTGGATGCCTACCCTCCCATGCAGACTCAAAGTCAGTGGAGAACAAGGATTTTTCTCTGTGGTAAAGTCCCCTGGTCACACGTGTGCGAGAGCTGCCACAGCCTCTACTTGTGTCAAGATGGCTCCTTCTCCTGCTAGTCACCAGGCGCCCTTGTAGAGGGAATATGAGATAAAAAATGCATTTTTCCTTCACTGGATTAGGTGAGTACCCTGCCTCTCACTGGATCCCCAGGCCTGATTCAAAGTCAGTGTGGTCTGCAAGGTTCTCCCTCAAGCAATATCGCCAGTAGCACAGGCTGCCACTGTCTGCTCCCACCTTGCTCTCAGAAGCTGTTGTCTCCTTCCCCTGGTTGCAGGAGTCGTGGATGGCGTCCCTGTTTGCTGCTGTGTCTGCATTTTCCACACTGTTTTCCACATCCCTCTTCTTTCTGTAGAATTTTGACTGTAAACTCTCCAACTCTCCCCTGGGAATGCACTTTCTCTGCTTTCTTCTGCTATCTTCCCCTGGTCAAAATCAGCATGTCTTCTCCCTGTTCAACCATCTTGGAATTCCTTGGTCTTAGTTTTATTGTAATATTTGGTGACAATATGTTTCAACATCCCAATTTTTTAATACTAGTCTACATATTTTATACTGTAGATTGTACGTTGGTTCATATGTTAAAAATGATTTGAGGGGTGGGCTTTTGGTACATAGCATGAGATGACACGTGGAATGCCCACAACCCATACCTGAGTTCAAGTTTCAGCTCTGTTTCCAATTCTGGCTTCATGCTATGTGCACCATGGGAGGCAGCATGTGATTGCAAAAGCAGCTTGGGTTCCTGCCATACCTGTGGGAGACCTGTACTCAGTTCTTTGCTCCTGCCTTTGTTCTGGCCCAGCCCCCAGCTTTTGTGGGCATGTGGAAAGCAAAGCAGCGGATCCGTTTCTCTCTCTCTGCCTTTTGATATGGTCACATATTTTGACACAGGAATTCCACTTCAATGCAAAACTTAAAAAGATTTGCCTGTAGTAAAAATAACTGTTATGTTTTCTTCGATTTATATCTAACATATAGAGTACAAAAATCTAATGCATATAAATGAAAGAGACAGCTGAAGATTTGATTATTGTTTATAGCCCTTGTCTATATGCCTGCAGAACAGTGGCCTTTCCACTTTCTACTTGTTGAATTATTTCTTTAGTGGAGCATTGAGCCTGTGATTATAAAGTAAATTGACAGGATGCTATTGTAAAAGTTAAAAGGAAAAAAAGAGAAGGAAGATGGAGAGAGATAGGTAGGAAATATCTTGATATTTCCTAAGCCTAAAATTGTATCTGTGAAATACATGGAATTTTTATAAATAAAAATGTTTTTAAAAATGGTAAGTAGCAAAACGCTTTAAAAGTTTCTGTCAGTATAATAAGAATTAAAATTTCAGATTTAATCCTAATTAACATATTTCTTTAGCCACAGAAATGAGGTTTTTTTTAAAGATTTTTTTTTTATTCATTTATTTGAGAGGTGGGGTTATAGACAGTGAAAGGGAGAGACAGAGAGAAAGGTCTTCCTTCCATTGATTCATTTCCCAAATGGCCACAACAGCCAGAGCTACGCTGACCTGAAACCAGGAACTAGGTGCTTCTTCCTGGTCTCCCATGCAGGTGCAAGGGCCCACAGACTTGGGCCATCTTTTACTGCTTTTCCAGGTCACAGCAGAGAGCTGGATTGAAATAGGAGCAGCCGGGACTAGAACTGGCGCCCATATGGGATGCCGGCACTGCAGGCGAAGGATTAACCTACTGTGTCATGGAGCTGGCCTTAGAAATGAGTCTTTTTCAACATTATCCCATTTCACTCAAGAAACTTAAACACATGAATAGATAATTTTAAGGGATAGGTGTTCAATTCTTCTTTTTGAAATTTTATTAATATAAAGAGAACAGATTTCATGTTCACAGACACAGTTCTAAGAAGATAGCCATACTTCCTTTCCTCCTACCCTTAATCCCCTTCTTGCCTTTTTTCTTGGTTTTCCTTTAGTTTTTGTAATAACATGCTTTCAATTTACTTTACAATTGCAGGCTTAATGCACACTACCTATAATGTTCAACAATTAAAATGTAGAAAGACCACTGTTTCACAGGAGTATAGACAAAAGCCATAAACAATAATCAAATCATAAGATGCCAGTTTCATTCTTACACTTTGTTTTTTTCTTCTATATTAATATATGAAATATATTATTATTCCCATTTCAATGCTAATAAAATGAGACAATACTAATGTTGATATCTTGCTCAACATTACAGAGCTAATATTTTCTTATTCATTGTTGAGCAAAGCAGTTGTTAAGGGCCTAAATATACATAGAAGAGAGGAAGAGAAAAGATGAATAGGGAGGCAAGGAAGGAAGGAATGAGTTCATATACCATAATTATAAGAGTAGTTTCACCCATGAGATAAATCACATCATTTTTGGTTTTAGTTTCTTGTTTTCTGTATTTTTAGAATTTATAATGTTTTTTAGTAATTACAAAAATATCCTTAAATAAAGCCAGCTTTATATTTGAATTCTCAATTAGAAGGATACTGATATAAATACAGTTTATTTACATCACAATTGTGTTATTCTATTGCTAATCACTAATGTTTTCCAAAATCTTTATTTAATCTACTCTCAAATCTGAATCCTTATTGAATGTAGAGTATTGTTTCTTCAAACCAGTTCTTATTTCAGCAATATTTCCAACTCACTTACATTTATAGCTTTATACCTTTACCTACTTTATAAAAAGAAATAACTAACTCTAAATATTGTGCCTGAATTATTTTGTCAGGTGTTATAAATTAACAATAATACCGAAACCTCAAAGGTTAGTATTTAGTTCCTTTTGTTTACTAGACCTAGATAATGAGAATTCAATATGAAATACAAAACTGTGGGTTTCAGTGGATTATGCATTTTACAAGGGCAAGGTTTGCTAATGCTCAACTGAGAGACTTTATTTAACCACAAACAAACCTTTCTGTTTCAGGTCTGAAATCCCTTGTAGTTATCCTGATTCATTGCTTAAAGAAACTCCTTGGTGCCATTATCTTAACTTTGTTTTTCCTGAGCATATTTTCTCTAATTGCAATGGGACTCTTCATGGGTAATCTGAAGCATAAATGTTTGCGATGGCCCCAGGAAAATGAAAATGTAACCTTGCACAACAGAGCTGGAAATCCATATTATATCCGAGGTAAGAAGCACATACCATCCATGGTAGATTCAAACCTTTATTGAATGTAAAGGAATCTTCATAGAAATGGTGAACACTGAATTTCAGAGCAAACTTTGTAAATCTGTGATGAGGCTCAAATGCTAATTTGGATCAGTTTCATTATTAGGAGAGGAAAGTGCCCAATCTTCAGAGAGGTAATTGCACAAATTTTATCCTTTCCAACAAGACTACGGCCAAAATCTCATTTTCATTAGAGGAATTTCATGTTAATTCCATCAGAGGAAGCTTAAAATCAGAGTCTCATAAAACTATCTTTTTTCAATAAAGTCATTCCTTAAGATATAAAAGTTAGTTTACTAATTAAAAATTTTCACTTGGAGTTAGAAATGTGCCAGGGGATTCCAATACAATCCCATCAAGATTGCATGTACCAATGCCATCTCACTAGTCAAAGTGATCAATTTCAATTCACAGTTGATCACACTGATAGGTCTAAGAGTCAAAGGGATCACACAAACAAGAATAGTGTCTGCGAATACTAACTGATAGAATCAAAAAAGGGAGAAAACAATCCAACATGGGAAGTGGGATACACAGCAGACTCATAGAATGGCAGATGTCCTAAACAGCACTCTGGCCTCAGAATCAGCCCTTAAGGCATTCAGATATGGCTGAAAAGCCCATGAGAGTATTTTAGGCGTGGAAAGCCAAGACACCTGGCAAAAACAAAAAAAAAAAAAAAAACAAAAAAAAAAAAACCAAAACCTAAATGAAAGGTCTCTGCGAGTGAGATCCCAGTAGAAAGAACGGGCCATCAAAGAAGGAGGTACCTTTCTCTGAAGGGAGGAGAGAACTTCCACTTTGACTATGACCTTGTCTAAATAAGATCGAAGTCAGCGAACTCAAGAGGCTTCCATAGCCTTGGCAACTCATGACTAGAGCCTAGGGAGATTTCTGATACCATAAACAAGAGTGTCAATTTGTTAAGTCAACAACAGGAGTCACTGTGTACTTACTCCTTATGTGGGATCTCTGTCCTTAATGTGTTGTCCAATGTGAATTAATGCTATAACTAGTACTGAAACAGTATTTTATACTTTGTTTTGTGTGGGTGGAAACTGATGAAATCTTTACTTAATATATACTAAATTGATCTTCTGTATATAAAGAGAATTGAAAATGAATCTTGATGTGAATGGAGTAGGAGAGGGAGCGGGAGATGGGAGGGGTATGAGTGAGAGAGAAGTTATGGGGGGGAAACCATTGTAATCCATAAACTGTATTTTGGAAAATTACATTTACTAAATAAAAGTTTAAAAATTTTTTTTTCACTTGGGTCAGCTGTATCCCATATTAGAGTGGTTAAATTTCTACCCTGGCCCCACCGCCCACTCAAGTGCATTCTCTGAGGAAGTAAGTGATGACTCTAGAGACTGGGGCTCTGCCACACACACACATGAGAGACCTGGATTTAGTTCCCGGCTCCCAGCTTTGGCCTCTGCCCAGCTGTGGCCATTGTGGGCATTTCTGGAGGAACTAGTACATGGGAGCTTTCTCTGTTCTCTCTCTCTCTCTATTACTTTCTGTCCCCCTGCATCTCAAATAAATAAAAGTAAATAAATTAATAATTAATATATTGATAAATATGTCATAGCCCACATGTGGTCTTCAGTTTTCAGTGTAGTCCTGGATTTTTCCTTCAGAAGCCTGCTTGTACCTGGCTAATTTTATTCATTCTCTCAAACCCTTCATTTAAATAAAGTGGTTCTGTCTCTGTGCCAAGTTTTAGCACTTTCAGTGCAGCTGCTAGGTCCTAGGAGGCCTCGTGCTATGCATCAGATGCTAGGTGAAAAAGGCCAGAATGTGAGCTCTTTGCTTTTTTAGCTGCAGACAGGGCTGTTCATCTTCTATGCAGATCCTGCCAGCCTTCAGGTATTCCACAAACTCAAGATTACACATACAGTATTGTTTCTTTCCTCTTTTCCAGAAACAGACAACTTTTATTACTTGGAAGGAGAAAGATATGCTCTCCTGTGTGGCAACAGAACAGACGCTGGGTAAGTGGTGTGAATGTTTTCTCCTATCAAGTTGATGTCACCAATCAATACTACTTACTGAATGAGTGTTGCTCTTACTCTTCATTTCCACTGGATTACATTATTTTGCTTTATGATGAAAGCCATGGCAAGAAGTTATCTTGGCCCATTCAGGCTGCTGCATCAAAATACCTTAGGTTTGTGGCTTATAAACAACAGAGATCTCTTTCTCTCAATCTGGGAGGCTGAGAATTCTCTATAAAGGTGCCAGAAAATTTGGTGTCTGGGAATGGCTTGCTTGCTCATGGATGGTTCTGTTTTCAGAATGGTGTGGGGTCTGTCCTGCACCTTCTCTGTAAGGGCAGCAATCAGCGGCAGAAAGTCTGCACTCACCTGAGCTAGCTGCCCACTCAAAGTTCCACCTCCAAATCCCATCACCTTGGAGGTCATGATTTCCACATAAGAATTTTGCACAGCTGGGACACAAGTTGTGGTCCAGTGTGTTAAGCCACCGCTGGCTGTGCCAGCAGCCCATGTGGGAGTGAAGGTTTGAGCCCCCACTGCCGTGCTTCTCACACAGCTCCCTGCTAATACAGCCTGGGAGGACAGTGGAAGATAACCCCAGGGCTTGGGCCCTGCCACCCGTGTGAAACACCTGGATGGAGTTTCTGGATCCTGGCTTTCATCTGGCCAGAGTTTGCTGTTGCTTCCATTTGGGGAGTGAACTAGCAGTTTCTGTTTGTCTGTCTGTCTGTCTTTCTTGCTCTGCCTTTCAAAAAAACAGTTTTTTTTAACATTTGTAAGGTGAACAAATTTCATGTATTTCATATATACAGATTTAGGAACATAGTGAAGCTTCCCATCCTGTCCTCCCTCCCGCCCATGCTCCCACCCTTCTCCCTCCTTCCTCTTCTATTCTCTCTCATAATTTTACATAACCTACTTTCAGTTTATTTCATGCTCGTAAGATTAACTCTATGCTTACTAAAGAGTTCAACAAATAGTGAGAAGCAAAAACACTGTCCCTCAACAGTAAAGACAAGGGCTATAAACAGCTATCAAATATACATATATATAAAACTGCCAAACTATTTTTGAAAGAGTTTTTTTTTTTTTTTAAACAGGCAGAGTTAGAGAGAAAGAGAGAGAAAGGGAGAGAGAAAGGTCTTCCTTTCCGTTGGTTCGCTCCCCAAATGGCTGCTACTGCCAGAGCTGTGCCGATCCAAAGCCAGGAGCCAGGTGCTTTCTCCTGCTCTCCCATGAGGGTGCAGGGCCCAAGGACTTGGGCCATCCTCCACTGCCTTCCCAGGCCACAGCAGAGAGCTGGAGTGGAAAAGGAGCAACCTGGACAGAATCCGGCGCCTTGACTGGGACTAGAACCCGGGGTGCCAGCGCTGCAGGCGGAGGATTAGCCTAGTGAGCTGTGGCGCGGCCTACAAAGTGTGTTTTGAGTGGACATACATATTCAGCACAATATGAAATAGTATGTTAATCCAATGTTACAGAATAAGCCACAGATAGAACTAAATGATGCATTGAAGGTCAAGAAGCTAAGAAACAACATGCGTAAGATTTAAACAGAAAACTGATCTGTTAGTGCACCCCAGAGCCAGGAAGCATTACCAGAGAGGATAGATCAATCTGTTTTTTGGAAAAATATTAAAAACCTGCTGTTATTTCACTTATTTTGTATATCTTTTATGGCTAGAGTTTATATTAATAAAAATGTCATTTTATTCAGCATTTATAAATACTTCTTCCTTGGTAGGACAGAACCTTCATGTCTTATTGTCGCATAATTTCAGATGGAGCAATAAAAAGCAGAATCAGGGTGCTTCTCAGTAGTGTGTGACAGACACGTAATTCCTGTGTTGTTTTGCTCAGCTGGGTTGACCCGACATTCACTGATACCCTCACCTTTTTCTGTGCTCTGGGGCTCAGAGCAACAAAAGCCTCATGGAGCAGTGAAGCATGAGTTATATAATTTAGTCAAATTATACATTTTATCACTTACTCAGCATGAAATTATTTTTGCATGGCTCATGGTAGGTCTCTAATCAATTCTCAAACACAAATTGTGAACCCATCTCGTTGTGACTGGCCCATTCCACTTTTGCCAACCCTTTTAATTTCATTCCTAACTCCACTATGACCTAAATGCATTTTGAAGTTCTCTGGTCATGAATAATTAAATCATATTGATACATTCGAGGCAAGAAGAGAAAGTCATGTCATGTTTTGCCTGTAGCAATCATACTTTACTGCAAGGCAAACTTCAAAAGTTTGTAGCTTAGTGCAGCAACAAAAATTCATTTGCTCTGATTACGTGGGTCAACAATTTAGCAAAGCCCAATCCATAAATGCTTTTTAAACCTCTTCTTGTTCCAGTAATAAATGCCTAAAACAAGTTGCATGACCAAACCCTGAATACTGTAAGAGGGCGTGGATCAATGAAATGTGATTTATTAAACCACTACTGTCACGTTTGACCACCATACTCAAGCCCCTCAGTAGATAAACATATTGGACTCTGAAAAAAAAAGTAAATATATATTAGTCTCCTCTTTCTACCAGAGAGCAAGCATGTACTGCTCATCAATTTTTTTTTTTTTTTTGACATTAGACAGTGAGAGAGAGAGACAGAGAGAAATGTCTTCCTTTGCCGTTGGTTCACCCTCCAATGGCCACCACGGCCAGCGTGCTGCGGCCAGCGCACCGTGATAGTTTCTCACCCTTAAATAATGTGATCTAAGCATTTGAGTTAAGACCCTTTGAAGATTAAACCCCCAAATCAGCCAGTTTTATGTTTATCTGTACTATTTTAAAACAATTATAATTCTCCTTTGACACTCAGCCATTTCCTCTATGACATCGTGGAGTAGAGCTCTAGTGAATAACAATATTTTTGTATTCTTGAAAATTGATAATGGAGTAGATTTAAATCTCCTCACAAAAAAGTGATAAGTACCTGAGAAAATGCGTATGTTAATTAGCCTGATCTATCCAATCCACAATGTGTGTGTGTGTGTATATATACATTATGAAGCATTATGTCCTATATGATTAATATACAGTTTTTATTTTTAATACCAAAATACATACAAAAACTAAAGTGGTGACAAAAATTATGTGTGAGGCCCCTTTTTAAATTTTAGTTCAACGAACACTGTTCACATTTATCAACTTGCAGTTGATCTCATTTGTAGTTCTTTGCCCAGGAATTTTCGGGAAGATGACAGATTGCTCTGTGTGGAAGAAGGAACCTTCTATTATTCATAGACAGATGGTTTATATTTATGATTTTCCATCATCTGAATGTCACCTAAAGTGAGCAGTTTCTGTTTTCTTTGGCTTCTCTAGTCAGTGTCCTGAAGGATATGTGTGTGTCAAAGCTGGCATAAATCCTGATCATGGCTTCACCAGTTTTGACAATTTTGGCTCAGCATTTTTGTCTTTATTTCGGTTGATGACTCAGGATTACCCAGAAGCACTTTATCACCAGGTAAGAATGTGGAGATTTCACACTGTACTTAGGAATGGCATCATGCCCTCACTTCTAAAATAACCCTCAAATATTATACACTTCACTAAATTTTTATGTGTAAAATAATTTTTAAGCAAAATAGAAGAGAATCAGAATTAGTGAATATATATGAAAATTATATAAGGTATGCTTATTATATAAGGTATGTGACTTCTTATTTACTCTTTGAATTAATTCTATAAAGGAATACTCCCCTCCCCCTGCCTTCCCCACTAACCAACTTATGATGGGTCAACTTAGCAGGGTTTCGGCTTTACTGTAGTACAAAAGTGATGCTGTTCACTAAACATCACAGTTTATTGAATTTGGATCCCTTCCTGGGATAGCAGTATGCAATGTGGTGCTCTCTTGTGATGCTAGGCAGTGGCCATGAGTCATAGACCACCACTAGCAAGGCAGTCACAAGTTTAACCACCAATACTTGCAGTGCACTGTGTTGCTCAGCTATGATGGTCAACAGATCAGGTGAAAGCATGTATTTTACATAAAACCTTTCAGCTACAAGTGCATTTATTGAGACATAAGTACATTGTAAGTTGAGAAGCATATGTGTACCTCTCTTGTATATGAAGATACTAAGACTCAGAAAAGTTGTGTACCTTCCTCAAATTTATAATAGGTATGCCTGCCAGAGCTCAATGTTCTGTTGCAAAATTTGTGATAATTACATATATAATATTAAATGAGTAAAGAGCATTTTTATGTAGCAATGCTTTAGTCAAGACATTTTGAACCCTTGAAATTACCTTGTGTTAAACAGTTCCTGAGTGCAGTACATGCAGTGTCCTATTTTTTTATTCTTCTGTTTCTTCTTTTCCCATTTTAATATTCAACCATGCTTCAGTTATGGTAATATAAAGCTTGTTTTTATGAGATTTGAAATGAAATGAAAATTCTGGGAGTTTGTGTTCCTAACTAATTATGTTATGCAACATATTTTCTCTGAAAGATAAAATACCCATTGAAATAGGATTCAGATTTTCTTTGAAGTTCCCTTTAGAGTAGAATATACAATTTTATTGTCAAAGCAGCATACTTGATATGAAAAGACAATAATAAATACAAATGTCTTTGGATTAAAAAGCTATCTTTTAGTTGAATGAGAATATTCCTTTTATAAAACACACACACACACACACACACACACTCACAGCTTATTTTGATTGACTAGATACATTGTAGAAAACGTGTCTACAGGTCACTGATAATGATAGGATAACACAAAACATTTGAACCACAGACAGGTTCATAACATATTACTAAATGAAAATCAAGGAAACCATAAATACATGTAGCACAATTGTAATTTTGATAAGAACATGGAAATATTATGTAAAATTTTTATTTATGCAAACTATGTGTTTCTAATTTTGTTATGTTTGTAATTATATTGCTATTTTCCAATCATTTTTACAAGTATCAATACTTCTCCCACAACTCTGGGAGTTTCTTATTCCTAAAATATTCTTCTCATGTTATCCTCCTAAAAATCCCTCTGTGGTTTTCAGATTCCTATGGCATGAAGTTCATGGATGAAAATAAATGGTTATTTATGCTTCTACAGATTTGTTACCTAAAAATATCCAAATATATACTGTTTCATTTGAAAATAAAGACTTGTTGTTTCCTAAGTGAGCATCTCTCATGATGTCTTGTTTTTATGTATGTTGTACCATTTACCTAAATTCAACTTTTCTCATAACTATGTTCATTGTCATGCCTCAAATTATTACATCAAAGCTATGACTTCTTATTTGAGCTTTTTGAAACTTTCTTTTCTGAATAAGGCACATTCTATATTGGAATACAAGAATACAGTGTAATTTCTTTCTCTGTATTTACTCCACTAGGTGACAGGATGGCGGACAAAGATTTTGTCTTATTAACTTTTTGTTGTCAACACTTAATACATACAAGCATTTTTCAAAAAGCTCGTGGGAAATGGAATTGAAAAGTGAGCTTGTTTTGTTGCAGAAACATTTAAAAATTCATGGAGATGGCAAGCACCGTGGCTCACTAGGCTAATCCTCCACCTGAGGTGCCAGTACTCTGGGTTCTAGTCCTGGTTGGGCGCCGGTTCTGTCCCGGTTGCTCCTCTTCCAGTCCAGCTCTCTGCTGTAGCCCTGGAAGGCAGTGGAGGATGGCCCAAGGCTTGGGCCCTGCACCTGCATGGAAGACCAGGAGGAAGCACCTGGCTTCTGGCTTCGGATTGGTACAGAGCACCAGCCGTAGCAGCCATTTTGGGGGTGAACCAAGGGAAGGAAGACGTTTCTCTCTGTCTCTCTCTCTCACTAACTCTGCCTGTCAAAAAAAAATTCATGCAGATGAGTGGTATTCAAAAAGTTCATGAAGAACATATATAGGCCGGCACTGTGGCTCACTAGGCTAATCCTCCACCTGCGGCGATGGCACCCTGGGTTCTAGTCCTGGTTGAGGCGCCAGATTCTGTCCCGGTTGCCCCTCTTCCAGGCCAGCTCTCTGCTGTGGCCCAGGAGTGCAGTGGAGGATGGCCCAAGTGCTTGGGCCCTGCACCCTCATGGGAGACCAGGAGAAGCACCTGGCTCCTGGCTTCAGATCAGCATGGTGCGCCAACCACAGCATGCCGGCCGTGGCAGGCATTGGGAGGTGAACCAACGGAAAAAGGAAGACCTTTCTATCTGTCTCTCTCTCTCTCACTGTCCATTCTGCCTGTCAAAAAAAAAAGAATACACATTATAAAAAAATGCATGGATATGTTTTAAAATTTTGCTGTAAAATAAACATCTATAATTCCATTTTTATGACAATTTAGAGTACCATCAGAGAAATACTTGTGAAATTTTTTCTTAAAATATTTTAACATATATAAAATTGTATCTTAATGAAATTTTAATAAAAATATAAATAGTTATTTATGAACTATATAATTTATATCCCAATAAAGGTATTGCTTTTTCTGTGTATTTCCAAAAGTATGTTACCCAATTTTCTGGATAGCATTGCTTTAAAGACAATCTTTTCCTTCTCATAGTGAAACAGCAGACCATTCGATATGTGATAAGTGTTGGAGTTCTTTCAGGGTGTTCATCAAAATTATGCATTAAGTTCTTAGTAACTAGTATAGATAGCATTCGCTTTGACTTGGTCTAGATTTGTATTCTTAACATTGCCATAAACTGAACTAATAATGGAACTGATGGAAATTCATCAGTCATTCCCAAAGACTATAGCTCATGCTTTAGAGAGCACTTTTTTCTGTTCATTCAACAAAGATTTGATCCAAATACCCTTAAAATTCATATACAGAAATGAACAACAGTGTAAATCCTCACAGAACAGTTATATTTAACAGTGTAATTAACATTTGTTGTGTAGCTGCCATGTGCATTGTTTCATTTGAAAGGAGAGCTATAATTATATTTATAAAACTTAATAAAACTGGAATTTTACACTTTTATGTGCCAGTAAGAAGGTATACATTTTAACACTCCTAGCATCATAGAAATATGTTTTAGTTCACTAGCATCATTTATAGAAAGAATGAAAGATTTTAATTCAGATGTAACTCCCATACTATGAGATCTTAGGAGTAATTTCTCCTCTCTGATTTCGCTTTCTCTTCTGTATCTTGAAAACAACATTAAATATCACATAGATATATTGTACATAATGAGGAAATAAGCATTATTTATTAATGTACATAGTCTTCATGGTACTCTATAATACTTATTTCTGACTGTTGATTGCATTATTGTAAATAACAACCTGTTCAGTGATAAAAATACATAACTAAATTCTAAATAGCTGTATTATTGGATAATAGGTTCATTAAAAATACTTTTAAAGAGAAATGGTCTCTAGGTCAGTAAAATTGTTTCTGATGGAATTTTGGGTCTTCTATTGCATAAGCATTTTACTTCTCTTTATCTGTACAATATTTTCTATAGATAATACTTTTATACAGTTTTGAGTAGATGTTTAAAAGTTAAGACTGTTTCCATTTATTTTGTTGAATTTTGTTTGTATAGTCTTAACCAATGACTATAAATTAGTAGACAATATTTTGCCTTTCTAATGTTCCACTTATAATTTTTCTAAATTTTTAAAATTTCTTATCTAAGGTAATTATTATTAAATAAAACTAGTTATACACAGTTTGAAAAATCTGAATTGTTGTGTTTTTCCATTCATAAATATTGCCTACTGTAATGGTTTCAAACATCATGTACCTTTTCCATGTGCTTTGTCTAAAGGTTTTTTCACCAAAACAGGTAGGCTGATAGGAATAGAAATATCCCTGCTCCCTACCTCTGTGTAAATCTGATTTTGCACCACATTATGACTTTTCATAGAAGCAATATTCAGAAGAAAATTTCTAAACATTTTCTGATTAAATTGCATACATTTAAAATTCTATTACAAAGAAAATAAATTTCTTTGTATCATGAAATTTTTATCGAGATAACTTTTCCTTTCAATGTGTTTTCTCTATTAATACATGGAAGTCAGATTCTCACCCCAAATGAATTAAATGACTGAATCTTTGCTTTAGTTTTATAGTATATGTTCTATCCCTTCCACATATGTCTAAAGTTAAAGATTAAAGTCTAAATATTTTCATAACCGATTTTTATTCTTCATTTTTAAAATGGAATACAAGAGGATAAATAACATTTTCATCTTTTATTCTGGTTTCGTCCTCCTCTTAGATTCTTTATGCCTCTGGGAAAATCTACATGATCTTTTTTGTTGTGGTGAGTTTTTGGTTTGCCTTTTATATGGCAAGTTTGTTCTTAGGCATATTTGCTGTGGCCTATGAAGAAGAAAAGCAAGCAGCTGCTGAAAGATCCATGAAGATTGGGCCAACATTTCAACAGACTTTAAAAGAACTTCAAGAAAGAGATGAAGTAGGAGAGGTATGTGTGTATATTGTTAGGTTCTTAAAATCACAGTGCTAAAGATATCTTTTCAAGGTCTTGGAGTATGTTGCTTTTCTGATAGATGCTAATTTTTGTGTGTATAGCATGATCAGATTAAAAAGGCCATTTTCAATCAGAGGGGCTCACTTTTGCTATATAACATACCTTCCTCAGAGCACAAAGTTAAGAGTGGAAGACAACCTGAAAAAATGCCTCTAATACAATTTCTTGTTCCAAAATAATGTGTTACTACTGCTGGTAATGGTGAATATACTTGAAGTATATGTTTTCAGAACTTCTTTTGATACAGGCATAGTTTATTGATTTGAACCTGTTTCAAATGACACATCAGAATTAATTTTGGACATTGTGTGCTACTCAAAAGTGACAATGACTTCCCTAATTTAGAAATTATTAAGGACTAAAGTAATGGATTACAATACTTTCCTAAAGTTGTGAAAAGAGAAAAACTCATGTTATGTTATTGGGTTTCTGCTTTGTTTAAGATGAAATGTGCTGTGCATCATTGTGTAGGAAATTATTTTATCAATAGAATAATTAAATCCATGACTAGTAAAACCTACTAATAATTTAAATTAATTTTAATTCCCTTATTGTCGGGTGTGAGTATTTTTTCATAATATTGGCCTCATGGCAAAAAAATTCAGTCTATGAATTTGAAGGTGTTGATACAAACAGCAGTAAGTAAGTTGTGGAAAATCATCTTTAAATACCCAAATTGTGCCATAGATGTGCTAACAGGAAGAGCAGGACCAAGAAAACTAAACAGAGCAGCTTTCTTATATCCTACAAAGCTATCTTTTTTTAATATTTAACTATTTATTTGAAAGTCAGAGTTACACAGAGAGAGAAGGAGAGGTAGTCAGAGAGAGAGAGAGAGATTCCATCCACTGGTTCACTCCCAATTGGCCATAGCTGCACAGATCCAAAGCCAAGAGCCTCCTCCAGATCTTCCCATGTGGCTACAGGGGCCCAAGAACCTGGGCCACTTTCCACTGCTTTCCCAGGCCATAGCAGAGAACTGGATCAGAAGTGGAGCAGCCAGAACTTGAACTGGCACCCATATGGGAAGCTGGCACTGCAGACAGTGGTTTTACCCACTGTGCCACAGCACCAGCCCCTACAAAGCTATCTTATACCATTTCCTTGAACCATTTTTCTGGTAGATGGGAAATGGATCTAGATTGAAGAGGAAAAAAAGGAACAAGGTATATGTTCCAATGGTTAAGATGATGATAAAATTGCTCATGTCCTACATTGGAGTGCCTGGGTTAGACTCTTGGCTATGGCCCCTTATTGCATCTTCTTGCTAGTACACACCCTAGAAAATAGCAGTAAGGACACAAGTAGTTGGGTTCCTGCCATCCACATGGGAAACCTGGACTGAGTTTCTAGAATTAGGACTTTTGCTACCCAGCCATTGTAGGCATTTGTAGTGTGAACCAGAGAATGAAATCTTTCTCTCCTTCTCAAGTAGATAGATAGAGGTGTCATATTCTCACATGAAGAGGATCAAAAGAGATGGGGGAAAAGCGAGGGGCCAAGATGAAATCTGGAACTAAGTGTAATATGTAGTAAGGCTGGCTACGAGGTTCACTGATAGTAAATGTCTTTCATGAGTCAGAAATGGGGAATCGTTAGCTGTCCTTTATATATAAGCCTTATATCAAGTTATCTTCAGTCAATAATCCTCAGAAAGTCCTTGGAGCCTGAATAACAATGTAGGATCCCACCAAATGCTTGATAGCTACTTGTATCCATAGCATGCGTGCCAGTATGAAGACAATACGAATGAAAAGAGGCTTTTGAATAGCCATTATATCACCCATGAGTAAGTCACAGGAAAGCAAATTACAAAAGCTTTCTGTCTCTAAAAATGACTCTGAGTTCCTTCAGATTGAATGATTAGGGTCAGAATGACATGTTGAATGTGTATTTTGTTCTAAAGTGGCATTTCAAAATCTGAAGGGCTTGAGGCTACTCACAAATGCATCCAAGTGTATGACAATACTTCTCTTATCATATGATGAAATACTCTATTAGTTCCTCTTATGAAAAACATGAATAGTCTCAAATTTCCCAATATTACCATTCATGTTTTTTTTTTCTGTTGATCACATAAAACCTTCCTAATTTAGTAAAAATATTTCAATTATAAAGAATTTATTTTTCTGGAACAATCCTGGAACATTTTGTCCTTCAGAATTTCCTGGGAGTTGAGACTAAGAATCATTTTCACAAGATTTATTTTCTTTCCCTTTTGTATTTATGTATAAAAAACCTTGGTGAGAGGAGAAGTTAGAGTGGAACATGCCAAGGAACCTTTGGGTGGCTTATCTAAGACCAGTCAAGGGGCCAGAGATGTGGCATAGCAGGTTAAGCTATTGCCTGCAGTGCTGGCATCTCATGTGGACGCTGGTTTGAGTCCTGGCTGCTTCACTTTTGATCCAGCTCCCTGCTAATGGTCTGGGAAAGCAGCAGAGAATGGTCTGAGTGCCTGGCCCCTGTACCCATGTGCGAGACCAGGAGAAGCTCCTGGCTTTAGCCTGGCACAGGCCCAGCTGTTGCAGCCATTTGGGGAGTGAACCAGCAGATGTAAGATCTGTCTCTTTCCCTCTGTCTCTCCCTCTCTCTCTATGTGTAACTATGCCTTTCAAATAAGTAAAAAGAAGCCCAGTCAATTCTACTTCTGATGTTGGAATGAGAGATTGCTTAGACACTGAATATTTGCATAACATAGGAAAGCTGTAGATAATATTAGCTAAAAGCTCAGTTTTGTAGTCAAATAAATATAGATTTCAGCCCACATTAGCCATTAATAGATGTATGGTATTTGGTAAGGTTTGTTATCCATTCTAAATCTCAGCTTCTTTCTCTGTAAGAAGTATATAATGATAATATCTCTTATAGGTTGTTCTGAGGCTCAAATGAAATAAATATATGAAAAACACTTAGTAATGCTTAACTAAAATGGTGAAGTACAACTAAAATCAAGAAATATTAATAAAATTATTATAGCATATCAGCATTGTATATGACATTAAGGAAATTTACCCAAATTATTATACTCAGTAATCCACATAAAACACTTGGCCTTTAGAGGAAAAAATTCTCTTTGAATAAATTCAAAGAATGTAAATCAAAGAATGTAAAGCTAAATTATTTCTTACAATATGTTAATTATATATGACATTTATTACCTAATATCTTCTAGACTCAGTGCTAACATATTTACATTCATTCATTGTCAGAACCTTTTGAGGTAGAGAAACTATTTCAATATCTTACATGATAAAAAGTGAGAATTGGTCCCCGAAGGTAACAAATGTAGATTTAGTCAAAATATTAAACCAGATATTAGTTGTTTATAGTTGTACTATATCAAGTTCAGTGTACTTGTAATAAAGGTTAGAAACACAGTAGGAGACTATCTGGAACACATCTTGGGGCAGGTGTCCTGTCACAGTGGGTTAAGCTACTACTTAGAATGCATGCATTGCTTATTTGTGTGTTTGGTCCCAGTACTTCACTGCTCTGGGCTTCTTCCAGTCCAGTTCCCTGCTAGTGCACCTGGGAGGTACAAGATGATGGCACTAGTACTTGGGTTCCTGCCACCCATTTGGGTGATCTAGATGGAGTTCCTGGCTCCTAGCTCAGCCTGGTATAGCTCTGGGTATTGCAAGCACTTGAGAAGTTAATCAGCAGATGGAAGATTGATCTCTCGCTCACTCTTTCTTTCCCCCTCCTCTCTCCTTTCCTCTTGCTCCCTCTGTTTCTCCTCCCCCCCCCACCATCTCTGTCACATCTGACTTTCAATTAAATAAATCAATTAATATTTAAGGAAAAAAAGAACACAGCAAGGCATAGGTGTCTCAATGGAGAAAATTCTGTCAACATAAAATTCTTAAGTACTTGAATATAAGTACTGACAATTAAACTGCTATTAGCAACTGCTTAGCAGACATATGATAAATGTTCTCATGAATTTTCAAGTTGAAACCTCATTGAGGAACTGCAGCTGCTAAATTTGATTGCTACTTTCTGACATCTGACTTCTTAACACAGGAAGAAGGCACAACTACCACCACCTTGCTTTCTTGTTCAGGAGGCTCAGTGCTGAAACAATGTGATCCATCAGTTACACAGGTTGCAGGTGAAACTTTCCTGCGATTTGTCAGTTACTGGCAAAACCTAAGGAAGTAAAATATATAAAATCGTAGAAATACAAATAGTTACATGTCTCATCGGAAATAGCATCCTTATTTATCTAATTAATTAACAATGACAACTTTATTAAACACTGGAAATAATTCTCAATAAGTACAAATAAATTGTCCATCTTCATGAAATTAATGGTGTAGTAGACAGACTAAAAATTATTATAAACACAAGAGTGTATCTCGGAGCCAGTGCTGTGGCACAGAGCGGTAAAGGGCCTGACCTTATGGGCCATATGGCCCATATGGGCACCAGTTCTAGTCCTGGCTGCTCCTCTTCCGATCCAGCTCTCTGCTATGGCCTGGGAGAGCAGTAGAAGATGGCCAAAGTCCGCCCACCTGTGTGGGAGACCCAAAGGAGGCTCCTGGCTCCTGGCTTCGGATTGGCACAGCTCTGGCCCTTGCAGCCATCTGTGGAGTGAACCAGTGGATGGAAGACCTCTCTCTATGTCTCTACCTCTCTCTATAACTCTGTCATAGAAGTTTAATCAAGGTAGATAGGTTAATAGACTGATATGTGGTTCATTCACTTTATATTGTAAAATATATCTATAGTTCAAGGCAAATTAGTAGAAAGTAAAGCATTGACTATATCAATAATATTTTAGGGCCTCTCCTGCCCCCACCCAGTACCTATATCATTATCTTTATTGAATTGATTTTTGGTGTAATTCCAGCAAACATTATCACTACTTGTAATAATTTTACAACAAGATATTCCCTATATACTCATGATACAGTTGAGGATGTTATTTACTGTATCATAAGCATCATCTTTTTGAACATACACTGTAGCATCTTAATAATAAAATCTTTGGGACTGGCACCGTGGCACAGTAGATTAATCCTCTGCCTGTGACACTGGCATCCCAAATGGATGCCGGTTCTAGTTCCGGCTGCTCCTCTTCCAATCCAACTCTTTGCTGTGGCCTGGGAAAACAGTAGAAAATGGCCCAAGTGCTTGGGTCCCTGCACCCGCATGGGAGACCAGGAAGAAGCACCTGGCTCTTGGCTTCAGATCGGTGCAACTCCAGCCGTTGCAGCCATTTGGGGAGTGAACCAATGGATGGAAGACCTTTCTCTCTCTCTCTCTCTCTCACTGTCTGTAACTCTACCTGTCAAATAAATAAATAAAAATCTTTAAGAAAAAGTTATAAAGTTAACATATACTTACTAAAGGAAAAAGTATATGCTAGTGAAATATTCTGTTATTTTATTACTCAGTAGTATGTTTACCAACTGAACACAGTAATCCTAAACTGTGTATATTGAATCTTTTGTCAAATATGGATAATATACTACCATCTCCTGATCTCTACTGATTTTATGGTTGGCTCCACAGTATAATTTTATTGAATTGCAAGGATATACATTTGTTTTCCAAGTATGAGTACCATAATCCTAAATCAGTTTAATACTGCCAAAAGTGTAAAGCTTGGCCAATGATGGAAACCTAAAACACTTCTAAAGGCAAGAACCAGGATTTTTTATATGGCTATACAACTCACCATTATAGAGTTGAACCTACAAAGATAAGAAGGCAGTTAGACCCATCAAATTTTTTTTTTTTCAGATAACACAAATAGAAATGAAGAAAAGATCATCAACTTCCATAAACACGTCTGTGGATATATTGGAAGATACTACTCTCAGACAAAAAGAAGGTAAGGAAAAATACTTAAACACTCACTGAGGAGCGTTCTATTCGTGGAAGATACATTTTTAAAGAAATCCTGCAATTTCTTCAGGACCTTGGATGGTTAGTGATAGCTTTGGGATCTGCAAGGAGAGAAGACCTACACTTCCAGGAATGGAGAGTCCCTTCCCACACTTCCAGGGATGAAAAGTCCTTGTCAAGGTCCCCACTGGTGCCTAAAGGTCAATCAATGAGGATCAGACCTACCTCAACCTTTAACCTCCACGCCCAATCTCTGTTTGATCCATGACTTCCTCGGCCCCCACTCTGTTGGGACTGGTGAACCTTGCCTGGGACCGGAATCCCAATAAAAGCTTGTGAATTAATTGATTCATCTCCCTGGGAAGATTTGTTACGCGCCGGACACCTTCCAGTTAGAATGAGAATTTAAGGAAAAACATGAGAAGATTAGTATGAATAATAAAGAAAAATTCAGAAGCATAGTGTTTTAAACATTTCAGAAGATCACTGAAAAGTGACAAAGAATTTCCTGTGTTCTCTTTGCTTAACATTGAAAAGCATATTGGAGTATTAACATGTAACTAAAAATACAGATAGGAGCATCGAACATGATTATTTCAGTAGAGCTATCATTACTTTGTTTTTTGTAATATATTACCAGTAATTCTTTTCATGGTCAATACTAAAAGGCATTATTTTATACAGCATATAATTCTAGCAACTATAAATCATTATGTTCTCAACTATTTTCTATATTTGTCTTCTTGAGATATTTCTGTGTTTTTTTTCTTCTAATATATAGTTTGACTGATTTTTATTTGTCTAACTCAGCAAGCAAAATGAAATATGGGAAATTTATACCACTCTGCTTTTTATTAGTATTGAATACTTCCTTTTCCTAATTCCAAATGAGAAGTCTAATTTCAAATCTCTCTTTGCATGTAATAGGCAATTTTTTCTCTTAAAGTCAAAATAAATAGTTTTCTAAAATTTGATTTTTTTTATTTTTTCACTACAGAAATTAAAAAATCCAAGAAGCTATGCTCATTGTGTTGGTATAGGTTTGCTAAAACTTTCTTGATATGGAATTGTTCTCCCTGTTGGTTAAAATTGAAAGAGATTTTCCAGAGGATTATTACGGACCCATTTACTGATCTTTTCTTTACCATGTGCATAATTTTAAACATATATTTTTTGGCTCTGGAACATTATCCAATGAGTGATGAAACCAACCATCTTCTTATCATTGGAAACCTGGTAAGACTCTCATTGCGCATTGTTTTTGTTTGTAGTTTCACCTTTGCTTTATCCATTACTGTCTTCACTGTTTTATTTTCCAACTGCAATGCATTGCACTACGCATTATTATCAGATCACTTGCCCCAGTCTATGCTTATCATTGAATGTTTTCACAGCTGGACTTAAAAATCCTGTCTTATAAAAATAAGATTCAGTGAAAATTTGTCATTGTCTCTCACTTCTCAAATATGCACTCTATTGTTACCATTACCTCACATATCAGAGTAGGGGACAGAGGTAAACTGAAAAAGCACAATTTTCAATGATACCTTAATTCGGAATCCTGATTACAATAGAGCCTCCCCTGGATGTCCTAATGGCCTTTTGCTTTGGTTTTGGTTTATTTATTTATTTATTTGGGTCTTCTCATTTTGGTGAGATTATTTGATGTACCTCTTTTATTCTTATTTTATTTCTTTTTAAAACTTTTATGCTTATAAAAGTTGTACAAATTTCATTTATTTTATAAATAGATGTAGGAGCATAATGATATTTCCCATCCCACCCTCCCTCCTGTCCCACTCCCACCCTTCCTCCTCCTTCCTTTTTTTTTTTTTTAATTTTTGCAATGACATACTTTTGCTATACAAAAATGGAGGCAGTTATTTTTGATTCCTCGGTTCTTTGTCTCACATGGAAGAAGAATTTGCAAGTGGACAGCAAAGAGATTTAAAAGTATTTATTAGAATCAAGGACCTCCAACTAGGCATGGAGGGAGGCTTCCAAGAGAAGAAAAAAACCCGAAAGGACTGGTGGCAGTGGGCTTTTTAAGTACAATTTTGAAGGAAAAAAAAAAAAAACCTTGACAATCAGATTGGCATTCAGTTACCAGGCAGGGGTAAAAACCCATCAAAAGACCTGATTCACAATTCTCCATCCTGTCTGGCCTGCTAAGGGTGGGATAGGTAACTTGTTTTCACAATAAGCTATGCACTCAGGAAGAGCTCCCTTGCTGTTCTCATGGTAAATTTGGAGATTCCAAAGGAAAGAGGGTGGCCTGTTTGTTCTTGCTAAAGATAATGTTTTGGGGAAGGAAGCACATATTTTACACCCCAAATTCCATTGGGATCCCCTGACTACCTATTAACCCATCTGACTTCTCACATTTTCCTTTATTTTATAATCACAAGCTTAACCCTCCACTAAATAAGGAATTCAACAGATTTTATATAGAAAAGGACATTTTTCTCAAAAGCATAGACAGACTATAGTTTTGAGATTTTGAGAATCATTTCTCCTTTTTCACAATTAGTGAAATGCAAAATATTTTACATATATTCTACATCTCACATATAGTGAATAAGGCAAAATAGAATTCTCCCCATGTAGGATCTCTTTCCTTAATTTGTTGTTCTATGTGAATTAATGCTATAACTAGTACTCAAACAGTACTTTATACTTTGTGTTTCTGTGTGGGTGCAAACTGTTGAAATCGTTACTTAGTATATTCTAAATTAATCTCCTGTTTATAAAGATAATTGAAAATGAATCTTGATGTGAATGGATGGGAGAGGGAGTGGGAGATGGGATGGTTGCAGGTGGGAGGGAGGTTATGGGGGAACAAGCCACCATAATCCAAAAGTTGTACTTTGCAAATTTATATGTATTAAATAAAAGTTTAAAAAAATCATATTCAAACAAATATGTTTTAGTAGTTTTCTTTGCTTGTATTATTTTTGTTTAATTTTGTTTTGTTTAATTAATTAATTGTATTAATGCAGCCAACTTGTTACCAGTTTTGAATTACACATATACTTGATACCAAAATAGTATTTTAGCTATTTCTGCCAATACAATTTTTAAAGTCTAATTTCCACAGGTTTGCTCTGTTTTCTTTCTGGACCAAGTACATGGATAGTAAAAATTATGTGCATGTATATGTAAAATACAGAAAATAACACATATACTTTTATTTTACAAATTGAAAAATGAAATATCTCACATATATTCCACATCTCATGAGTAACTATTCAAAGTGGAAAGATATTTATCCTCAAATATTCTTTTGTTTTTATCAAAGATGGCACTTATTAAAATAATTGAAAATTCTGTGTGAAGTGTTTCATGTTAGATTGTTAAAACCTATGACCCCGTCATTGTAAGACAGACTCCAGATGTAACTAGATCTTACATCTTATAACAGGAGTTGTAAAGAGGGTGTATATGAAAAATGAACATTGTGTTAAGTTTCTGTGTATGTAGGATTGGATATAGATTTTGGAATCACTTTCTCCATGTGTTTTATTTTTATTTAGGTTTTCATTGGAATTTTTACAGCAGAAATGATTTTTAAAATAATTGCCATGCATCCATATGGGTATTTCCAAGTAGGTTGGAACATTTTTGATAGCATAATTGTGTTCCATGGATTAACTGAAGTTTATCTAGCAAATGTTGAAGGAATGGCTCTTTTTCAATCATTAAGGATGGTAAGTAGAATCCAAGACCTAATTTTTACTTTATCAAAATTTATCTCAGTTTTCAAACCTAAAAGGGAAATTATCCCATTTGGTCATTGAGAGTATTAAATGAATTCCTTGATATATAATGATCTAGGTGATCCCAAGAAGGAGCAAATAGTCTTCAATGCTGCTATTTGACCAGCATATTAAACTAGTTGGTATTAGCAGCACATTAGAGATGTAGTTCTGGGAAGCAGGGTCAATGAAACTGTTTTAAAAGGTAAGATTGGTGAAGACTTCTAAAAGTCTATTACTAAGAAAAAGGAATCCAGTTATTTCTAAATGTAAGGTTCTAAATATTTCTAAATGTAAGGAAGAAAATTACATTTATAAAAGGACTAGTTAAGCCGGCGCCACGGCTCACTAGGCTAATCCTCCGCCTAGCGGCGCCAGCACACCGGGTTCTAGTCCTGGTCGGGGCGCCGGATTCTGTCCCGGTTGCCCCTCTTCCAGGCCAGCCCTCTGCTGTGGCCAGGGAGTGCAGTGGAGGATGGCCCAGGTGCTTGGGCCCTGCACCCCATGGGAGACCAGGAAAAGCACCTGGCTCCTGGCTCCTGCCATCGGATAAGCGCGGTGCGCCGGCTGCAGCGCACCGGCCACGGCGGCCATTGGAGGGTGAACCAACGGCAAAGGAAGACCTTTCTCTCTGTCTCTCTCTCTCACTGTCCACTCTGCCTGTCAAAAAAATAAATAAATAAAAAAAAATAAAAGGACTAGTTAAGTCATCATAGTATTTTTATAATTTTTGTGTGAAATCTATGCATATAAAGGCTCTTCAGATAATTTTCCATTGCATACAATGAAAACCTACTCATGGAGTTTAAAAAAATTTATAGCAAAATAAACTAATCTTTTACTTTCTTTTTTTTTACACAAACTCTTGAAATACCTCACTTAGTATAGTTGGGTATATTAAGATTATAAAGCTGAAATCAGTATATGTCTACAATTTGAGATCATTGTGTAAATCAGAAAATTATAAAAAGAAATATGATTACTAGAATGAATAAGATATGCTAAAATAAAGAATCAAACTATATTAAAAATAATAATGGGCTGAATCTAAGATGATTAAATTTTACACAGGCATGTGTAAGTATCTTACTCTTGAATCCAGAATGCCAACCAGAGACTAGGAAAAATCAAATGGCATAGTACATATAAAAATAATGTATAGGCTTTAGATTTTCAACTGTTATATGGTGACCAAAAATGTGAAGGCAACATTGTTCTGTTGATAGCATTTAAAAATCTAATGAAAAGAAGGGGAATATTTGGACTGAACCTATTCTGTTTCATCTTTGATATGATACTTTTAAGGGAAAATATGTGATAGGACTTTTAGTGGAATTCAGCGGTGGATCCTGGAAGACTTTCATTATCATCTGTCAGTTACAAAGTGGAGAAATTTCCAATATATTGTGAAAGAAAAAGCCAAGAATGAATGGGGGGGTTGGCAGATCAAGAAAAACTATATCAATAGAGTTAGTTTACAAAACTACAGAATATGTAACACTCATTAAGAATCACACATAAAATGAATATTATGTAATAGTAATACTTTAATAACATTACTTTAAAGGCTATATTTGTACATTTGTGTAATGTTGATAAATATTTAAATGTACATTGTAGTCAATACTGACCAGATTTTTTTATTTTTGGTTGTTGTTTCTTGCTCTTGTTTTCTCTATTTTGTTCTATTAGTTGCGGATTTTCAAGTTGGGAAAATATTGGCCAACTTTTGAGAAGCTGATGCTGACTCTTAGTAATTCACTGGACGACCTGAAGGAAGTGATCCTGCTGCTGTTCACGTTCGTTTTCTTTTCTTCTGTGTTTGGCATGAAGTTGTTTGGTAGCAGTTACAGGACCTTTGTCTGCCGCATCGACGAAGACTGCCGACTCCCGCGCTGGCACATGTCCGACTTCTTCCACTCCTTCATGAATGTGTTCCGGATTCTCTGTGGAGAGTGGATAGAAACCCTATGGGACTGCATGGAAGTAGCAGGCCAACCTCAGTGTATTTTGTTTTACATGATGGTTATTTTAATCGGAAACTTACTGGTAAGTAGTCCATGCTTTATTTTTCTTTGGGAAATCTTGTATAATGCAGTCTGGTATTTTCATGATGAGAATTAATGAGAATCCAGTTATCCATAACTAAGTTTTCCAGTAAGTTGACTCCTTTCCATATGTGATTGTCAGTGGAAATATACTTGGTCCAATCTGAGATTTGCTAGAAATGTAAAAATGACACTGCATTTATAGTTGGACCTGAAAATAAATGTAAAAATTTCAGAAATAATTTTATCATTGAATATATTTTAAAATATTTATATTTAACTATATACATTTAGTAAAATTTGGCACATTAGTAAAATTAATTTTACCTATTTTTATATGATTTTAATGTGACTATTGGAAAATTTTAAATTGTGTATTTGACTTGTATAATATGTCTACCGGAAAGCGCTGTTTGCATTGAAATCACACAGAGATGGCTAGAAATGCAGACATTCAGACACCATCCCAGAGCTAAGGAAGCATAATCTTCATTGTAACAGCATTCTCAGGTAATTGTGTGCACATTAAATTTTAAGAAGCACTTAAATGTAACACTGGCTGTCAAAATAGCCTGCACACCAGAATTACCTGGGGATTTAGTTAAAGCATGCCTTGGATCCATTCCCAGAGATTCTAATTTTGTTGTTATGGCCTGGTCATCAGGATTTTTAAAAACCTCAGTTGATTAAATTGTACAGCCAAGATTGAAAAACACTGGTCTGTTTTTATGCATTTACCAAGACAGAAAGCTTTCACTTCTAAATTTCCTAATAATCAAAGTGGTGTTACATGAACTGAGTAAGTAGCTTTTACTGCTTCTGAGAAAAAGGTATGGTTTATAAAAGAAAATGGTTCTTACAGGAAGATTCGATATTTGCCTTTTACTCATATGTCATAAATATCAAGTACATTTTATAAGAGACTGAAAGAAAAAAAATAAAAGTTAGACTCAGTTTTGTTTGTGCCCTTCCTCAGTTCCTATTTCAACTTGGGAAAAATTCTTGTCATGTACTTTACCATATTGGCATTCTGTTAATTGTTGATATAATTGTCTATCTTGGTATTAGATCCCATGACAGAAGAGACCATTACTCTTCTTTTATCATAAAGCCTGGAACACTATCCAACATGTGAAACTGTTTCAGTACTTCCTGCCTTTTGTAGCTAGCAATACATGTTCAACTCCTAGTGACAAAGCACAGTCAAGAGTGAGCATATATGTTAGCCTACATAAGACAAAACAGAGAACAATCTTAATTGTAGTCGTAGAGTGGCACAGGTATTCCAATACGATCATTAGAGACAGGTTTCTATATATCTCAGTTCCATCTCTGTATTCCTCTCTACCTGGTATCTTCTGTGTTATCAAGATGACTATTTCACTTTATAGTCTTGCATCTTCAAATCATCTCATGTCTAATAGAAGAGAGAATTTCTTTCCTAGAAACCACAGCAAACTTTCCTGTTATCTCAGTGGTTCTGAATCACCTGCCCGTTTCTGAAATAATCTTTACTGCACAGAGTGTGGGATACATTTATTATTTTAAGCCACTCCTCAAAGCTCTCCTTTGGAGCTAGAGATGGCATCAGTCCAAACCCAAACGATGAATAACAATAGAATAAAGGTAGCTTCTCAAATGGACTACAAGTTTCTGTCTCAAATGAACTGCAGGTTTCTGTCTCCTAAAGGAAGATCTATGGATTTTGAGGAAATCAGCAACATCACACACACACACACACACACACAGAGTTCAAGAGCAATGAAGAATATTGAGACATGTTATATATTCTTAATGTACTATACTTAAAATATATGCTAATATTATATATTTTATATAAAATGTTGAAGCATTTCTCTTTCCTTACTTCTGAAGTCCATTCTATTTGTAAATTTTTTATTGCTACTGATCAGAAAGTTCAAGTGCAGGGAGAATTTCAGGATAAAATGGAATTACATGAAACTCCATTTCCAATTGATTGGCCATCATACTTCTTGGTCTACTAAATCTTTTCAACTTTATTCCATTAAGAGTCATCCAGCTGTGGCACACCATGATAATAATGTTTTTGTCTTATAATATAATAAGATCTCAACAGTGATTCTGATCTTAAAATGGAAACACTTAAAAATCTTATACAAAATCAGATACTTAAGTAACTTTTCATAAAATCCTGTCATGTTGAGTTGTAGGAAAGGAAGAGTTCAGATCCAAGCATAGTTTCACATTCCAGTTATAGTAATTAAATGATTTTGGGCATATAACACAGAACCTTTAAATTTGACTACATTTATAGGAAATGAACATAATATTACGTGCCTTATAGGATTGTCATAATTTAAATAAGATCATCTAGCACCTTATAAATCATACATATTTGTTTTAATTTATATTTTAGAAAAATTAAGGTCCACATTTATAGATTTTTGTTAATTATTTAATATTACCTAGAAGTTTTATTTTTTAAAGGATCGATTTTCTTCCATGAGTTTTACCTACAACTGACATGGTGGCCACTGTGTTTTGGTGTCTGGTTATAGTTATATAAACAAAATAATAATGGATAGAAAAATAAAAAGAAAAAATATATAAAACATAAAATTCAGTTACTTTTGAAAGTAAAAATTGATCATAAATTTGTATTCTATGTAGATTTATATTTTCTCAAATTCAGTATATTTATATTTAATTAGAACAGAATTAAAACAAAAAATAACTCTGTTCATGTTAAATACTTTAATACAAGTTTATTTCCTGATTCCTAATCAGAAAATCAATACTTAGATAAATCATGACCTTCCTTTCTGTTTCTTTTCGATCTATTTTGGAATGAAGGGTCAATTCTCATTCAATAAGTGGATCTCTTTGAGGTGGCTAAAAACCAATTTCAAGGGAAACATTTAAGTGTCTTGTTTTGGATGCATTTCTTCACTTTTCCTCTCTTAACAGAAAGCAATACATTCATGTTTTAAATCTAGTTATATTGCTGTGGGCAGAGGAAAGTTACTCTTGATCCCTACCTTTTCCCTTCCCTTTATTAATACTCCATTTACAGCTCATAAATCATTCCTAGCTTGGGCCCTTTACACACTCTATTTTGACTTTGATTTCCTTAAGAGACTATACTGTTTTTAAAAATTCAAAGCATATATGAACAAATTGGTGGAGTTCTGCAGTGTTATGAAGTTATTTCCGTTCACCACAATTTTATGGCATTTTGAACTTTTAGAATGAACTTCCTTTTCAGCCATATAAAATATCCACTGTATATGCATATGCATGTTTAAATGTGAGTTTACAATATAATAAATCTTGTATTATATTCACTTAAAATATACTGGCATATTTCTCATTAAGAGAAAAACCTGGTTACTAATCACATGAAGCTTATAGTCATGAAACACTTACCTAATGCCCTTTCTTTAGTTTGTACTTTGTCTAATACTTGGCCAAAAGAGGAAAAAGAAACAACTATACATAAGAGACCTACCGTTCTAACAATGATACAAATGCTCACAGTGTGGCCTCTAAGAGAATGGTAGAGCCTGTGTTTGAGATTCGCACTTCTTCACATGGATCCAAAATTTTGAAAGAAATTTTTAAAAAATGAGTATTTAGATTTCTTCCCATGGGGCCGGCTCCCAGGAATGATTTTTCTATCACTCATGTTTTTTTTCTATTACCAAATTTATTAAAACAGAGAATCAGCTAATCTACTTGACACCTCTTCCCTTGCCTACATGCTTGGCTATTTCAATAACTACTAGATATAGCTTCAGCACCATGGAGAACTCTTTACCCCTAAGAAGCCTGATTGGGTTGCAAATCCTACTGTGCTACTGGAGTAAAGTGAAGTCAGCCACCTGGCATCCCACCTAATTTGCTCCCCTTGTGTGAGACAGGCTGGCACAGTGATAAAATAAGCTGTGGAATAAGACAAACTTGAATCTAATTGGTGTGACCTTTGATAAGCCTTGCTCTTCATTTATAGAATAGAAAAAAGATCATATTGCATAAGTCACTGGGGCTTAAGATGACTGCTGGCTATGCAAGCCTCCAGCATTCTCCTTACAAATTAGATTAGTTAGATCTCAATAGCATTGCAGATCATGTGCTCTGTTTTCAAATATCTGGTAAGCTTTTTAAAAAGGCATTTTAAAAATTTTAAGGGGAAAATGGCATTCATTTAGTCTCATTTTACTTCCTCTTAGATACTTTACCTGTTTCTGGCATTGGTGAGCTCATTTAGTTCATACAATGCTGCAAAAACTGAAGAGAACAATGAAACAAAAAATCTCCAACTTGCAATGGCAAGGATAAAGAAGGGAATAAACTATATGCTACTTAAAATATTATGCAAAAAACAAAGTGCTCCAAGGGAGACAATGAACCAAGTGAATGACATGTATGTTAAAGAGAATATGTCTGACCATACTCTTTCTGAACTGAGCAACACTCAAGATTTCCTCAAGGATAAGGAAAAAAGTATTGGCACTGAGAAAAACACCATGACTGAAAATGAGAATCTGTCACTTATGCCCAGTCCTAGTGTCTCAGAAACAGTGCCAATTGCCTCAGGAGAATCTGATATAGAAAATCTGGATAACAAGGAGATTCAGAGCAAGTCAGGTGATGGAGACAGCAAAGAGGTAAGATCTTTTAATAAATTTATTTGTTGTTGATTTATATTCTTGTTTAGAAATAAGTAAATCAGTGGTGAAGTTGGTCAGATGATCCATTAAACCTAACTCTACTACTTCCAGCTGCTGGCTTTAGGCCAATGATAAAATTAAGATGTCTGAGATTCTGTTTTCTCACCTGTAAATGAACATAAAAAGTGTGCTATATATTTTGTGGAGTAGATAGAAGGATTATGAAAAAATAGTTCAGTATTACATAGGAAAATACCAAGTAGATAGTAAACATTTAGGAAATATATAATACAAGTGTGAGGTCTCAGAAATTAATAAACTGTTAATTTGGGATTATGAAAAGCACATTGAAGGAACCAAAGTTAAAATCAGTGGGTATGAATGGAGAAATCGCTAAACATCTCTGGACTTGTTGATCTTTAAAATGATTTAAAGTTTATATTAGAAGAACGCCAAGAAGGAAGATGAGAAGGAAAGCTGAAGAAGTGGGGAGGGGGGAATATGTTCTTAAAATTGTATCTACAAAACACATTGAATCTATTAAAAAGCAATTAATAAAAATTAAAGTAAAATTTTTGTAATGCTATTTTAGGTTAAATTATTTTAAAATAATTTTCTAAAAACTTCAATTCACATTAATATATATGTATTTTTATATCAGTCATGGAATTGGCCTAAGTTCCTTTAAACATGATACCATTCTTTCTATACCAAATTCTTTTACTTCTGAAAATGTAATAAGCTTTCTTTACAGCAAGAAAACAGTATTTTAATCACATTTTTGATGGCACATTACCTTTCAGAAACTGAAGCAGTCCAGCTCATCTGAATGCAGTACAGTGGACATTGCTATCTCTGAGGAAGAAGATATGGTCTATGAACATGAAAAGCCAAAGCATCTGAAAAATGGTAAGAAAAATTTCTTTAATAATTTTGTTGAAATTAGACAAAATTTTTCTTAACCTAAATAATAATTTTAAATTTCTTTTAATGTTAGAGAGTTTATTAGTTTGGCTACAGAATACACACACACAGGCACCCAACTACATCCTCATAGTTAAAACAAATGTCAACAAACACTGAGAAAAGAGAGAAAGGGCCTGCTTGTAAATAGTCTTTTACTGTGATAAAAAACAGTTGGCTGTGGAATCAGATATGTTGACTTGAACCCCCAGTATACCACTAAATTTCCTCTCTGATTCAGTTTCCCACTCCAAGATATGAGGATAAAACATATAATATTGTCAAAAAATTAAATTAGTGTATTTGTACATATGTGTGCAAATTGTGTGTGTGTGTGTAATCTTGAAAGAGAATCTGACCAAAAAAGAATAACCACAAATAATACCATTAATATCATCAAACATCATTAAATTTTTTTTTTTGACAGGCAGAGTGGACAGTGAGAGAGAGAGACAGAGAGAAAGGTCTTCCTTTGCTGTTGGTTCACCCTCCAATGGCCGCTGCGGCCGGTGCGCTGCAGCCGGCGCAACGCGCTGATCCGATGGCAGGAGCCAGGAGCCAGGTGCTTTTCCTGGTCTCCCATGGGGTGCAGGGCCCAAGCACCTGGGCCATCCTACACTGCACTCCCTGGCCACAGCAGAGAGCAGGCCTGGAAGAGGGGCAACCAGGACAGAATCTGCGCCCCAACCGGGACTAGAACCCAGTGTGCCAGCTCCGCAAGGCGGAGGATTAGCCTAGTGAGCCGCGGCGCCGGCCCATTAAATTATTTATAGACATTTTGATCAATGTAGTTAATGCAGAAAAGAGCTGTTAATAGTGTTGTCTCAGTGTAATATTCTGGGTAACATTAATTCTAAAATGTGCTTTTCCATTCTATAAGTAATATTGGGTAAAATTGTATACATATTGTTCATATTTAATTTACAACAAGATTTAAGAGTAAAACAGAAAATCAATATTGTTAAGTTAGGTGTGTGTGTGTGTGTGTCTAGAAGGGAAATAAAGTATATTTAGACATAGTGAAATAGGATGAATATTTATAATATTCATATGAAAATATCCAATAATGTTCATAGGAAGACAATTTGTGACAGTGACACATTTATATATTTCATATGAATATTAAGAAATGTATATAATGCAGTCAGTTATCTGGTATTACATATAGATATGTAACACACACCTCTCTGATTTATAATTTAAGTTAGTTTCTTGGTAAGATGAAAAAATTACTACAGGTTTGGTCACTTGAAATCATGAAAAAGATATCAAAATGATAATTGCTGAGTACTCAAATTCCATTCTTCAAAATAAGAATCTTTGTTGCTTGAATTCCAGGAATTGCATCCTCTGAGACAGGGGAAGAAACATGTTTACATTTTTCAGACTAGAGTTGCAATATTTGACAGTAGGCAAAAGTCTAAACTGAAATGTTTTGACTTCTGACTCCAACCACTTCCATTTCCTTTAATATTATTAACCTGTTAGTCATGCTCTTCTCAAGCCTTGAGTTATCTTTTGCTGATCTTGACCAGAGGTAGAGTTCAGCGCATACACAAAGTATTTTACAATCCTGGTTACCTCCTCCAATAGTTTCAATCAGAAGTCTCATTTCCTTGCCACCCAAGAACTGAAATCAAAGAATCCAGTTGGTTTAATCAACATATTGTCTTTTAACATCTTATGAATGTTTTTAAGTGGGAATGTTTGATTTGCTGAAGTGAATCTTCTTGCTTAATTTTCAGGCATTGTACCAAAATATAACATACAGAAGATGTTGTGTTGGTGTTTATTTTTGTAGGGATGGAGGATAAGTTTCATTCTCAAAATATTCTTCAGAGGAGTTGATGTTCCAAGCCTTTGAATAATTTATTTCTTTCTGCAACTACCAAACTCATGTTTTCCTCCTTGGTGATTGCAATGATCACTGTAGCAGAAGTAAAAATCAATCAAATATTTGGAAATCAGAGACTACTTACGTCAGCATCTGTAAATAACTGAGGAAGCATATGCTGGCAAGTTTAAGACATTTACTTTTTAGTGAGTTTTCTAGATTTTTGCTCTTATCAGTTCTATTTTTGTCAGGTTGTAGACGGAGATCTTCACCTGGTCAAATCAGTAGACTATCTAGGAGAGGAAAAATCTGGCAGAACATAAGGAAAACTTGCTGCAAGATAGTTGAAAACAGTTGGTTCAAGTGTTTCATTGGACTTGTCACTTTATTCAGCACAAGTGCTCTGGTAAGTGAGCAGTCAGGGTGAGTGACCCTGTCCCCGGGATAAATATATGATAATTCTCTTAATTCAGAAAAGTCACCATGCTAGATTATTACTTTCCCCAGAAGACTTGGTAAACTGAAAAATTTTGTATTCTGGGATTTTCATTTTAGGAAGTATATGTCACTTGTTCTTGGAAAGTCTGTGCATCAGTGTTGAATTTAATAAATTTAATTCTGCCATTAAACACTAGCATCAAAATGTTAAGTAAATAATATGACTTCAAAATATATGCTCTACTGTGGTAAAATGGACCAAAAGTAGAAACCTGATTCTAGTTGCTTTTAATGAAGTTTTTTGTGAAAGAGTTTTATAGCTTGTACAACCAAAATTCTGCTGTGCTTTTCTAGTACTTTGGTACCCATTCAAAAAAAGAAAGAGAAGTATTATATGTATTTTAAGGATCTTTTAATTACAATTATACCTGTGAAATTATCCTACACATATTTGACTATATGTTAAAATTTTCTGAAATATTCATTGTTATATCAAAGATTTATGGGGAAAAAGGACCCACAAAATATGAGTGCTTAAATATGCTGTGGTACACAATGCCATCTCACTAGTCAAAGTGATCAGTTTCAATACATAATTGATCATAATGATAGGGTTAAGTGTCAAAGGGATCACATAAACAAGACTAGTGTCTGATAATGCTAGCTGATAGAATTAAAAAGAAGAGAACAATCCAACATGGGAAGTGAGATACACAGCAGAGTCATAGAATGGCAGATGTCCTAAACAGCACTCTGGCCTCAGAATCAGCCCTTAAGGCATTCGGATCCAGCTAAAACGCTCATGAGAGTATTTCAGGCATGGAAATCCAAAACACTGTCAAAAAAAAAAAAAAAAAAAAACAACAAAAAACTAAATGAAAGATCTCTGTGAGTGAGATGCCAGCAGAAAGAACGGGCCATCAAAGAAGGAGGTACCTTTCTCTGAAGGGAGTAGAGAACTTTCACTTTGACTATGGCCTTGTATAAATAAGATCGGAGTTGGTGAACCCAAGAGGCTTCCATAGCCTTGGCAGCTCATAACAAGAACCTTGGGTGATTACTGACATCATAAATAAGAGTGTCAATTGTTAAATCACTACTCCCCATGTAGAATCTCTGTCCTTAATGCGTTGTACTATGTGAATTAATGCTATAACTAGTACTCAAATAGTAGTTTATACTTTGTGTTTCTGTGTGGGTGCAAACTGTTGAAATCTTTACTTAGTAAATACTAAGTAGATCTTCTGTATATAAAGATAATTGAAAATGAATCTTGATGAAGAATGGGTTGAGAGAGAGAGTGGGAGATGGGATGGCTGTGGGTGGGAAGGAGGTTATGGTTGGAAAAAGCTGCTATAATCCAAAAGTTGTACTTTGGAAATTTATATTTATTAAATAAAGTTAAAAAACAAACAAACAAATAAATAAATATTTTTAAAAAATATACTGTGGTACAGTCATCCAATGGAATATTATGCAGCTATTTTAAATAATACAGAAGCTGCCTGTTTGCTGGTTATTTCATGCTCTAAGATATAGTGATAATTGAGGAAAGAAGGGCATAGGACAGAGTATATGTCATGCTGTATTTAATATAAGAAAGGATGCAAATATAATGTAGATTTTCATTTGTTTGCATTTAACTAAGGAAAAGCAGAGAAGCATACGCAAGAACTAGTTAAGTGTGAGGTATACAGAGCAAAGAAAATCATGATTGGGAGTCATGGTTCAGAACCAGGCTTTGCACTGGGTGAGTTTTATATTAAACCCCTTATTGATACATGACATTTAAGACAAAAACTGAAGACTCTACATATCCTGAGTTTGCACAAAATGAGTATGCTGATGTTAATAGTCACTTAGATTCAGAAACAGAACATTATTCCTCACAACTAATTCTCCACTCCATATGGGTAGTCATGTGGACTTCTATTAACATAGATTAGTGTTATCCACTTTTGTACTTAAAACATAGATTCAAACAATATGTATGCTTGTTTTCTTCTGGCTTCTATTTTGTTACAGCATCCCACTCCTCACAATGATTCAGATCAAATGTCTCTGAAAGTCCTTTTGTTCCTGGTGTATGAAATCCAAATTTACAGAAGACAATCTAGCTTTAATTTTAGTGGAAGATATACAATGTCCTATAGCCATATTCTAGGGCCAAAGAACAAGTATGAAGCCTTGTTTAGTCTTTATAAGAAGAAGTCCTAGGATAAATGAATGCCATAGGTATGAGATGAAAAAATGGTAATTATTGATACTATCATTAAATCCAAGCAAAATGAAAAAGCCCTAGAGACTACAGTCTGTGACTTTTTTCATCAACTGCTTATTATGGATACAGTTTCATTCTTTCAAGGAGTTTTTAGGAATTCTGTGAACACTAACCCTGAGGGATTTTTTTTACCCACAGGCTTTTGAAGATATATATATTGATCAGAGAAAAACTATTAAAATATTATTAGAATATGCTGACATGATCTTCACTTACATATTCATTCTGGAAATGCTTCTAAAGTGGATTGCCTATGGTTTTAAAGCTTATTTCTCTAACAACTGGTACAAACTGGACTTCATGGTTGTTATTGTATGTATTTCAAATAAATATTTAGAATGCTATTTGATTTACTTTTCTTCTTTACTCTTAAATGTTTTGTTCACATTTGTTTTCAATTTCCTTCTGATGTACAATTTTCAATGACTAATATTCCACCTCTCTTTATTTAAAATGTTAAATATTGATCTTATTATAAAGTTTTAAAAGTTCAGCATTTTATATTTCATTGTACTAGTTACCTATGAACTTCCATATGATAGGTTTGTTACATGATGTCTAAAAATATTAGCAAACTAAAATCTTTTTCTTTTGACTTCAATTTTAAATCATATATCCAAAAATGCAGTTATAACCAGTGCTGTGCAGATCCACGCTATCAAAATTTCTCATTTGGATCCTGACAGTAGATTTCAAACTGATATCCCTGCTTCTCACACTGCACACCTTCACTGGGTTCTCCACCAAATCAGCAGAGTGACTATGAAATAGCAGTCAGCTCATGTCACTTCACTTCAGCTGGTCTTGAGAGTCAAAGACCCACAAGTCTCCACATGATCCAATGTTGTCTCTTACTATTCTTTCCTCGGGTCCCGGTCTGTTTATTGAACCACCAGCATGGCTCTTCATGAAGCTCCACAAACTAAACAAGATTACTTCCATTTCAGGGCCTTTCACTTACTCTTCTTTCCACCTGGAACTTCTGTTGACATTTATGTCTTTGATGAAATGAAACCTTTGGAGGTGGATTTTTCCTCACTGCCTTGTTTTTATACTGCAACCACACAATACTTCTTTTTTCCTTTCTCTGCTTTATTCATCTCTACAGTCCTTATTCGTATTAAATAATTTATTCATTCATTTTGTTTTTGTCTATGTTTTCTGACAAATCAATAAGTTCCATTAGTGCAGAATTTTTACTTCGTTTTCTTCCTTCCTTTATCCTCGTGCCTAGAACAAGTCCTGGCATATATGTTCTAATATTTTGTCGTTGATTGAGCAAAGGCTCCCTATTCTAAAAAATAGGATAACACTTCCACAATGTATAATTGACTTGCAGTAGCTGATCTCTGTATTGTAAACTAATTCCTGGAAATTAACCTCTACTCCAACCAAACCACACTGCCTGCAGCTCACCTTCCTGTTTCCTAGTGATTATTCTCCTATGTCCATATCCATCCACATTAGGACTATGGTGCCCTTACTTGAAGATCTGCTGTAAAATGATCTCTTTAATATAGGATGTTGACTTGAATATACAGAAAATAAAGATAAAATAAAAATTAATCTTATCTATATCACTTTGCTTAATTTTAATTAGCATTAATCTTAAGTGATTTCTGTAGATACATATGTACTTTTAAAAAATCACATTACTATATCATTATACATATTTGTGCCTTGAACTTTTGATTTAACAATATTCATATCCTTCTTGATGGTTTCCTTTTGAAATCCTATTTTGTATTTTGTCTTAGCCATGTTTGTATGTAGATACACATGTGAATATATTTACAAATTTTAATTATGTTAATGTATTCTATAACAGTACCGCTTTTGAAAAAATCATAAAATTGGTTTTAATTGATTTTAATCTAATTTCAAACTTAAAAATATAGATACTAGTCCTTGATGATACAGAAAATAAAATATATACATTTGTGTTTATCTCAATACTACATATTCCTTACTACCAGAATAATTTTTTGTTTTATCTTCCTTTTTTTTTTTTTTTTTTGGACAGGCAGAGTGGCCAGTGAGAGAGAGAGACAGAGAGAAAGGTCTTCCTTTGCCGTTGGTTCACCCTCCAATGGCCGCCACAGCTAGCGCGCTGCAGCCGGCGCACCACGCTGATCCAATGACGGGAGCCAGGTACTTATCCTGGTCTCCCATGGGGTGCAGGGCCCAAGTACTTGGGCCATCCTCCACTGCACTCCCTGGTCATAGCAGAGAGCTGGCCTGGAAGAGGGGCAACCGGGACAGAATCCGGTGCCCCGACTGGGACTAGAACCCGGAGTGCCGGCTCCGCAAGGCGGAGGATTAGCCTAGTGAGCCGCAGCACTGGCTTGTTTTATCTTCTTAAAGTGATTTTGACATAAAACTATTCTCTGATAACTTTGTGTAAGTTATTGTCAAGATGTTTTTATATGCATTAAAGTATTACACATATTTATTGATAGGTTTTGTGTATTTTTTTGGATAAATGCAGTTAATTTTACATGTTATTTTAATTAAGATGGTCTTATTAACTCTTTTTTATATATGTATAGGTGTTTTGTCTTAGTTTAATAGGCAAAACTCGAGAAGAGCTAAAACCACTTTGTTCTATTAAATTTCTACGGGCACTCAGAGTTCTATCTCAATTTGAAAGAATGAAGGTAAGATAAAAGTTTTTAACATAATCTATATTTTTTGTTAATAAACTTTGTTGTCTTCTCATTTGTACCTTTAAGAATATCAATACAATAAAAGTCTTATATTCTACTGCTTAAATATAGAAAATTTGTAGATTAGTTGTGCTTACTGAGATTTTAGGTCCATATTGCTAAGATATAAAAACACATAAAATAAGAAAAAAGAAAATATTATTAGAGAAATTTTAATTGAAAAAAAATAATATCTTTATGGAGGAGGCATTTAACATGGTGGTTAAGATGTCTACACTCCATATCGGAGCCCTTGAGTTTGTTTCCTGGCTCTGGCTCCTGATTCCAGCTTCATGCAAATGCGGATCCTGGGAGGCAGCAGTGATGGCTCAGTGATTAGGTTCCTGCCACTGCTGTGGGAGACTTAGATTGCATTCCTGGCTCCACACTTTGACTTCAGCCCTGTCCCATCCATTTGGGTCACTTGAGCCATGAACCAGCAGGTGAAGCACATCTCTCTCTCTTGTTCTGTCTCTCAAATAAAAAAGTTCTGAATTTTTTAAAATAATATAATATTTTTAGATAATGTCACATAAAATGATACATATTTAACCCACATAGATATGTGTGATTTTTTTTCTCAATTTTAAAAAAATGTCAGAAAATGAAGCTATGATGTTAGCTAACTTTTTAAAATTCTAAGAACATGTATACACAAAGTAGTTATTTACTGAATTAAAGAAAAAGTTTTGATTTCAAAATAAATTTACATTTTTTAAAGTCATATAGTACAAACCATAAATTCTTACAAGTCCTGTGTTATGGAATGTTGACCACTGGGAAGAAAATTGTTAGACTGAACCATTTAGAATGGCTTCACTGATTCTGCAATTCTCAGCTTATCCTTCCTACAAGTAGACTCCTCAAGCCAGTTCTAGGTCCATTCTGTCTTTTTTTTATGAGTTTTCTAGATTATTGCATATGCACATATCAGTTGAATATTTCTGACTCAATATAAGAAATGAATAAAAATGTTAAATCAGTGAAATAATTATTTATTCTGGTACTTGTAATAATCCTCCCTGTTACCATTAACTTGTACATTGTGAGTGTATCTCGAGTTTTAATGTACATTTTTTATTGAAATGAATTTCTATTTAGATCATCACAATACTGCCATGTGGGCTATTTTATGTATGGCCCTTTTAATTTTTTCAGTAGAAAATTGCATTGATTGTTATTTTTAATTTGACTGGAAATGTCATACGTGTATTTTTTTATATGCCAGGTGGTTGTGAGAGCTTTGATAAAAACTACTTTACCAAGTTTGAATGTGTTTCTGGTCTGCCTTATGATCTGGCTGATTTTTAGTATCATGGGAGTGCACTTATTTGCTGGGAAATTCTATGAATGCATTGATCCAACAAGTGGAGAAAGGTTTTATGTATCTGAAGTCATGAATAAGACTCAGTGTGAAAGTCTTGTTTTTAATGACTCCATGCCATGGGAAAATGCAAAACTAAACTTTGATAATATTGGAAATGGTTTCCTTTCTCTGCTTCAAGTAGTAAGTATACTATTGACGTTTTATTAATTATATATTCATCTGTATTATAGGTTGAATACAAAGGACTAACTGCAGATGATTAAAAAATTTGGTTATAAAATATTTTAGCAATTATTAGTCAATAAGTGTTACAGGAAATACTATACTAGATTCCTCCAGAGACATAAAAGTGAAATATACTTCTGCCCGTTGGAGAAGGAAGTAGAGAGGAAGGTAGGATTGACAGAGAAAATAGCAGTTACTGACCAAACCTATTTGTGCAATCAATGACCAAGTAATAGAGTCATAATTCTTTGATCCACTCTGGGTCACTACCTTTTTTTCTGTTTATTGCCTTGAGGAAAGACTACTCAGTGAGCCAATATTTGCCAAATGTAAAGAGTTGGACTATTTCTCTCTTTTCTATCCCCCAGAAAAGCACATGTACACCAATTCCAAGTAGCTGTGACACTTGGCAGCATGAGTTCATTTACCATTTATTTATGTATTGCCCTATTGTATACCATCTTAAAATATTATTAAACATTAACTAAACTAAGCATTTAGAATAACTAAGAAGCAATCTGATAATGAATATGTCAAAGATCTTTTTTGCATTGTATATAAAGTAGGTTAAGATTTACTATCATGTTCCAGTATATTAATAACAAATTGAGTTTTACTTTTCATTTACCATAAAGCACAGATCTCCATAGGAATTAAATCCATCTCATTTTTTGCAGGCAACATTTAATGGATGGATCACTATTATGAATTCAGCGATTGATGCTGTTGCTGTAAGTACAATATAATCTCAAACTATTTTTACATTTCAAGCAAAGTCAGTTTTGCAACTTAAGCACAAGAAAAAAATAATACTCAATTTTAGGTTGGGTATTTAATGGACAATGAAATGTTCATAGGGCTGTATACAGTGACTGAAATACATAGGACCAAATAAATGATTAATAGAACTTGTATTAATGATTCAATGATTCAGTCGATGAACAATGTATAAGAGTAAAATTGACATCTTATGATTTGATTATTGCTTAAAATTCTTATCGATAATCCTGTGGAACAGTGATCTTACTACTTTTTACTAGTTCAACACTGTGTTTGTGGAGCATTAAGCATGGTATTATAAAGCAATTTGAAAGAACATTATCGTAAAAATTAAAAGAATAAAAAAGGAGGAAGGAGGGAGGGAGGAAAGATGGGACGGAGGACGTATTTTTTAAGTACTTATAATTATATCTGTGATAGACATGAAATCTATTCTATTTATATTAATAACAAATTAAAAACCCAGATAAACAAAACTAAAATCCTTTAATCAAAAACAAAGAAAACATTATCTCAAATAGCATTGTTGAAGTTTTCTTCTCAAATTTTTTATAACTCTGTGTTTTAAAAAGTCAGTATCAATACTTTGCTAATTTTTAAATTAACTTTTAGATAAATATGCAGCCTACTTTTGAATACAACCTCTACATGTATTTTTATTTCATCATCTTTATTATCTTTGGATTATTTCTCCCTCTGAGTATGCTGATCAGTGTGATTATTGCGAATTTCAACAAGCATAAAATAAAGATAAGTATAAATATTTTTTGTTCATCGATGTTTGAGAAACACATTCATAAAACACTCTGCTTCAAATAATTGGTTTTGGATTTAACATTAATATAAATTTTATTTTTTTTTACTTAGAAAAATAATTAGTGTTCTTGCTCACTGTTGAACATTGCTATAGTGTTCATCTTTCTATTACTTTCAATACTTAAAGTATTACAGACAATTTTCAGAGATAAAAATTGTATGTGTTTTTATATATGTGTGTTGTAGATAATGTGTTGAAAATAGGTAATTTTTCATGAATCTAGATAAATATATGAAGTTTAAAAAGTCTTTTACTGTCTGTTATATGCAAAGTCTTTGAATCTTAATCAGCATGAACATCTTCTAAGTTAGAATATCTCTTTCTGCTAGAAGTACAGAGAGTTGTAAAACCTCATTCAGAAAACAGCCTATGTTTAGTGTCATTTCTGCAGAGAGACCTTAAGGGTCTCCACAAATTCAAAGGCTTCCAAAGACATCTGTGCTCACAGTATGTCCTTCTAAGGCACCGACTACAAAATACAGGAAAGCCTTCCAAAAAAGCCAAAGAAAGAATAGCTTAATTTTGAAATTCCATCTTCAGTCATGCATCAAATATTAGTTCTGTGCAAAAGCTTGTATAGTGCTCTGAGTCTCCACTGTTGAGGTGAGGGCACACAATTCAGTGATAAAACATGGTTTTGATTAGATACTTCAGCTTCCTAGGAACCCAAAGGTGTAAAATCCAGAATTGGATTTTGAGCTTCACTTGCTGATTCCTGTTGATTTTTTATGACTTTTTTTTTCAAACTTTTATTTAATGAATATAAATTTCCAAAGTACAGCTTATGGATTATAATGGCTTCCCCCCCATAACGTCCCTCCCACCCGCAACCCTCCCCTTTCCCACTCCCTCTCCCCTTCCATTCACATCAAGATTCATTTTCGATTCTCTTTATATACAGAAGATCAGTTTAGCATACATTAAGTAAAGATTTCAACAGTTTGCTGCCACACAGAAACATAAAGTGAAAAATACTGTTTGAGTACTAGTTATAGCATTAAATCTCAATGTACAGCACACTAAGGACAAAGATCCTACATGAGGAGTAAGTGCACAGTGACTCCTGGACTCCTGTTGTTGACTTAACAAATTGACACTCTTGTTTATGGCATCAGTAATCACCCTAGGCTCTTGTCATGAGCTACCAAGGCTATGGAAGCCCCCTGAGTTCACTGACTCTGATCATATTTAGACAAGGCCATGGTCAAAGTGGAAGTTCTCTCCTCCCTTCAGAGAAAGGTACCTCCTTCTTTGATGACCCATTCTTTCCACTGGGATCTCACTCGCAGAGATCTTTCATTTAGTTCCCTCCCCCCCCCCCCAGAGTGTTTTGGCTTTCCATGCCTGAAATAGTCTCATGGGCTTTTCAGCCAGATCCGCATGCCTTAAGGGCTGATTCTGAGGCCAGAGTGCTGTTTAGGACATCTGCCATTCTATGGGTCTGCTGTGTATCTCACTTCCCATGTTGGATCATTCTCTCCCTTTTTTATTCTATCAGCTAGTATTTGTAGACAGTATTCTTGTTTATGTGATCCCTTTGGTTCTTAGTCCTATCATTATGATCAATTGTGAACAGAAATTGATCACTGGGACTAGTGAGATGGCATTGGTACATGCCACCTTGATGGGATTGAATTGGAATCCCCTGGTATGTTTCTAACTCTACCATTTGAAGTAAGTCAGCTTGAGCATGTCCCGAATTGCACATCTCTTCCCTCTCTTATTCTCACTCTTATATTTAACAGCGATCACTTTTCAGTTAAGTTTCAGTACTTAAGAAGAATTGTGTATTGATTACAGTATTCAACCAAAAGAATTAAGTAGAACAAACAAAAAAAATACTAAGAGGGATAACATATCAAGTTGCTTATCAACAGTCAGGGTGAGGGCTGATCAAGTCACCATTTCTCATAGTGTTCATTTCACTTTAACAGGTTTCCTTTTTGGTGCTCAGTTAGTTGTCACCTATCAAGGAGAACAAGTGGTATTTGTCCCTTTGGGACTGGCTTATTACACAGCATAATGATTTTTTTTTAAATTTTTTGACAGGCAGAGTGGCCAGTGAGAGAGACAGAGAGAAAGGTCTTCCTTTTGCCGTTGGTTCACCCTCCAATGGCCGCCACGGCCGGCGGGCAGCAGCCAGCGCACCACGCTGATCCGATGGCAGGAGCCAGGTACTTATCCTGGTCTCCCATGGGGTGCAGGGCCCAAGTACTTGGGCCATCCTCCACTGCACTCCCTGGCCACAGCAGAGAGCTGGCCTGGAAGAGGGGCAACTGGGACAGAATCCGGTGCCCCGACCGGGACTAGAACCCGGTGTGCCGGCGCTGCAAGGCGTAGGATTAGCCTAGTGAGCCGCAGCACCGGCCGATTCCTGTTGATTTTAAGTGACTGCATGCTGACAAATGATGGCAGTAGCAATACATTTGTTTACAGATTTAATTTATCTATTTTAAAGTCGGTGTTACAGAGAAAGAGAGGCAGAGTGAGAGTGAGAGTGAGAGAGAGAGAGAATCTTTCATTTGCTGCTTCACTCCCCAAATGGCTGCTACAGCCAGGGATGGTTCAGGCTGAAGCTAGGAGTGAGGACTTTATCTGGGTCTCCCATGTGGGTGCAGAGAAATCATCTTCTGCTGATTTCCCCAGGTGCATTACTAGGGAACTGGATCAGAAATGGAGAAGCCGGGACTCGAACTGGTACCATATAGGATGCCTGTATCATGGGCAGCAACTTTATCTGCTATGCCACAGCATCAGGACCAGCAGCACTTTTTTTCTTTAAAGATTTTATTTATTTATTTGAGAGGTAGAGTTACAGACAGTGAGAGGAAGAGACAGAGAGAAAGGTCTTCCTTCCTTTGATTCACTCCCCAGATGGCTGCACCGGCTGGAGCTGCACCGATCCAAAGCCAGGAGCCAGGAGCTTCTTCCTGGTCTCCCATGCGGGTGCAGGGGACCAAGGATTTGGGCCATCTTCTACTGCTTTCCCAGGCCATAGCAGACAGCTGGGATTGGAAGAGAAGCAGCCGGGACTAGAACTGGTGCCCATATGGAATGCTGGTGCCACAGGCAGAGGATTAACCTACTGTGCCATGGCACTGGCCCCCTACAGCACTTTTAAATTTCTAGATTAACATGACATTGTGCATAATATGTATTGTGTATAAGAGGCTGAAATCATCACTGGAATTCTAAAAATGAATCAGCCCTAGAAGGTGCTACAAAGAAGCAAGCACATGATGCTTTTGAAACAATGGCAAATAAAAAATATTATGATAGCATTTTGAATATAAGGTAATGCATGAAATATAAAATACAGATATGACAAATTATATGCATCCATATTCATTAGAAGGTACAAACTCACTTTCTCTGTTGCTTAGTAAACATTTTCTGATATCCTCTGCTATTTTCTGATCTCTCTCTTTAGCAAGAGAGAGGCTTTATTAGACTGAAATGTGAAAATAGGGTTGATTATCCACAGAGCCTTGCACTAAAAGCTTACTGGATATTACCTATAACTAGTACATATTCTACATGTGTTCCATATGGATTTTTGTGCAGAAGTCAGTCATATTGAAACATGATTTAGTCCAGTGCAGCTAAGCTATTTTAAAGAATTAGATCTGTAATTTCAAATTTTCTAAAATGTATATCAGTATTAAGGAAAATTTGGATTAAATAAAATTTTAATATCTTTCTTTCATTTCTCTACCAGGGAGGTTCAAATATCTTTATAACAGCAAAGCAAAAGAAACAATACCGTGAGTTAAAGAAACTGATGTATGACAACTCTCAAAGACCGGTACCACGTCCAGGAGTAAGAAAGCATCAAGATAATTTTGAAGTTTACATATTATTTATATGTTGTCTTTTATAAATGAAAGTGTTTTTGAAATTCTTTAAAAATGCTTGGATTGTTGGGGGGTAGACAGCCCTTGCTGCAGCAGTTAGGTTGCTCCTTGGGATGCCTGCAGCCTGTATCAGAATGCATGGTTCAAGTCCAGGGTCCTCCACTTCTCATCCAACTTATTCCTAATGTCTTCATCCTGGGAGTCAGCAAATGATGTCCCTGCCAGCTTTGGCCTGGTCTAGCCTTTGGTGTTGCTTGCGCGTCAGCAGATGGAAGATCTTTCTCTGTCTCTCTACCTTTTAAATAAAATGAAAATATATTTTAAAAATTAGCGAATGTTTTTGATAAAATTTATAAACTATGTTCCTTGACAGAGTTTTTAATGGTCATTTTTTTGTTTCTTTAAACTATATCCTACAATTATAGTTTAGTAAAATATTGGGCACTTAACTCTATTCAATCTGGAATGGAAGTTGTAGAATCAAAAACTGTGTGTGTATACATATTCTATTAAGACAATTACACATGTCTTCTTTACCCACAGAACAAGTTCCAAGGATTAATTTTTGACTTGGTAACAAGTCGAGTTTTTAACGTCGTCATCATAGTTCTTATCTGTTCCCAAGTAATTACCTTCATGATACAAAGTGATGAACAAAGTCCACAAGTGGAGCGTGCTGTCTACTGGATTAGCTCAGTCTTTGTTATGCTGTATACTTTGGAATGTCTACTGAAGCTCGTCTCTTTCCTTTGTTACTATTTCACCATTGTGTGGAACATTTTTGATTTTATGGTGGTCATTTTCTCCATTACAGGTAAGATGTTGTTTAGTCAAGCTTTCACTTGTTGATATGGGCAAATTCTTTTAGGGAATGCTTTTCAAGATACATCTCTTAAGAAGCAAGACAGTCACTTAAGAAATGGTTCATAAGAAAGCCTCCCATTTTTTGTATCCATAAACATACAGATATCTGACAGACATAAAATCCTAAATGTTTCTTGAACTAATCGCATGGACATTATGCCACAAAGCGCCAGGTAAATTTGTACACAAACATCAGTTTTCTAGGATAATACTAGAAGGATTTTATGTCTTAGAATGACATAACCTTGTTGTTTTTTAACTTCAAATCTCTAAAACTATTTACAACTTAAAGGTCTAGAGTTTTAGGCATTAATGAATTTGTCCCTAGAGGTATCTTACTTTGAAGATCCCATCCTTTTGTTTAAAAATATATTTGATCATCCTTTTGGTGAATAGGTATTGTGAAGAATTCAGTAGTATGTAAGATAGGCATAATTCCTGTATACACATAGCTTGTACACTATTAAAAAGTATGGAATATTAAGCAGTATATTTTAATGCTGTGCTGCTAAGGTTATGGTTGGAGTAGCACAGTGGGCTGCAGCAGCATACCAGAGGGAGGGGTTATAGGGCAACTTTGTGGAAGAACAAAAACTTAATTGAGATCTGTGGGATAAGGAGGTAGCCAAACAATGAATTTAGGAACAAAGTGTTTCATGTAGAGAGAATTTTTTTATCTTCTTCTTTCTCATAATACACATACCAGAATGAAAGCTCCATAAGTGGAACAGTGTCTTAGAGTTATTGTGTCAAGCACTATTTTATGTTTTCAGTAGTGTAAAATGTAATGTCTCCCCTCATATTTCTAGAAAACTCACTCAACTGATTCTGTTGAGAGTTGAAGGAATGCAACTAATTAGGTAGAAAAAAAGCTCAAGTAGCTAAATGAAAAAGTGCTATAAGATGCAGTTGGATAATAGGGAAAAACAGCAATTGTGGAACTACAGAGCCTTATGACATTGAGGAGGGAGTTACTTAATCAGAGAGCTGGAAAGAAAAGAATTGTTATCAAGAGAAAATTGTTTGAACTTGGTGATTGCAAAAGGTTAAGTATCCTCTCTCCAGAATGTGGCCATATATATGGACAACTGGAGTAAAATGGTGCAGATGGTTAAAGTTGAGAAGGCCAAAGTCCATGACACTGGCCTTGGAGTTGCTTGTTGATGGTAGATGTTGAGGTAGCGTGGCCAGAAGTGAACCAATGACTCAAGTCTTTAGCAAATGAAAATGATTCGTAGAACTAAGGAATGGTAGGAAATGGTATAGTTGAATTGCATGTTCTGAAAAAGTAAAAATTTACTTTTTCCTTATAAAAATGATAGGAAGGAGAAGTGGTTGGAAATAACAGTGCAACAAGAAAAAAAAAATATTCCATCTTTCTTCCCTGAGAAATGTTGAGTAGGAGAGAATGTGCTGTCTGCACTTGAGAGTTTAAGGAAAACTGGTGACCTCCAGATGGAATCAGATTTTAGATAAGTTAAAAACAAAAAAAACAGTGCTGATTATGTAGAGAAATTACAATTAAAGGAAGGCACATTCTGCATAATGGAAGCATTTGGAAGACAGAGGAGAAATGGAATTGGGGTCAGATTGGAGGACTGACTGAGGCACTTTGCAGATGAGGGCACAGATGAGGGAGAACATCTGGCAATGACGGAGCTTGATAGACAAGGTGAGGCATCACATTTCCAGAGGCAGCACACATACTGTCTCATTTACAAGACTCATGGACTTCTCCCCTCCACCAGCTTCTCACTCAAAATGAATCACATTTTCTCTGGCACTTCCAGAAAACATCTCTTATGTCTCTTAGGGATACTGAGTATAATTTTTACCTTTTCAAATTGTTTTCCCCAGTCACTCCCATACTTGGCTCATCTACTAACCACCACCACCACAATTTCTAAACAAAGACTCATATATTCAGTTTATTTTTAAAGCTCATGAAGCCCAATACTGTTTATAAATTATATTATAATCTTTGAATCACTGGATGCCAGACACTTTTGTAATTATATTTACCAATTAGGCCTTTCTGCCTGGCTTCGTAATCATCTTAAATGTCCATCACTGTTTTCTATATTATAAGATCTTTGAGGACAGAAATCATGTCATTCATCTTTGCATATTTGCATGATATCTTCCTTAGGCATTGGTAAAGGATGGATTGCATTAAAATTCTTGATCCAACAGCAGTCAGAAAATAGTATGACTACTATGTTTCATTATGGGTTATTTATATTTAAGCTCCTGATTCAAAAGAGTAATCAGCAAAAATGTATATGTCCTTCTTTATTCAAAACCTCTATAATTCCAGAAATATTTGATTTATAGTACTTATAGAAAGATGATTGTGTAGAAAAATTATCTTCCAAATTTTACTCAGTATTCTGATAGTTGACACAGATAGTATTTGGTTAACATAAACTTTTGATATCTTAATTATTAAATAGGAGGAATTCATAAAGCTAGAGGGATCAATAAAGAATAGTAAAATTTAGAACAACAGTAAAATGTGAAATAATTTATGTTCCTCTAATTACGTTTGTGTTTGGATAACATATTACATTATATTTCTCTAATTACATTTGTGTTTGGATAACATATTGCCTGTCTTGTCTTTCCCACATCAAGGATTATTACTGCCTATCACAGTAGGATACTACCTTGTGCCTCCCTCCCTTGTGCAACTGATACTTCTCTCACGGGTCATCCACATCCTACGTCTTGGAAAAGGCCCAAAGGTGTTTCATAATTTGATGCTTCCTCTGATTTTGTCACTTCCTGCATTGTTGAACATCAGTCTTCTGATCTTCCTGGTCATGTTTGTCTATGCCATCTTTGGAATGTACAACTTTGCCTATGTTAAAAAAGAAGCTGGAATTAATGATGTGTCCAACTTTGAAACCTTTGGTAGCAGTGTGCTTTGTCTTTTTCAAGTTACAATATTTGCTGGTTGGGATGGGATGCTTAATGCAATTTTCAACAGTAAATGGTCTGACTGTGATCCTGATAAAATTAACCCTGGGACTCAGGTTCGGGGAGATTGTGGTAACCCCTCCATTGGGATTTTTTATTTTGTCAGTTATATACTCATATCATGGCTGATCATCATAAATATGTATATTGTTGTCATCATGGAGTTTTTAAATATTGCTTCTAAGAAAAAAGCCAAAACCTTGAGTGAAGATGATTTTAGGAAATTCTTTCAGGTGTGGAATAGGTTTGATCCGGAGAGGACCCAGTACATTGATTCTAGCAAACTTTCAGATTTTGCAGCTTCTCTTGATCCACCTCTTTACATGGCAAAACCCAACAAAGGCCAGCTCATTGCTATGGATCTTCCCATGGCTGTTGGAGACAGAATTCATTGCCTGGATATCTTACTTGCTTTTACAAACAGAGTGATGGGTAAAGATACAAGGATGGAGAAAATCCTTTCCGAGATAGAATCAGGATTTATGTTAGCCAACCCTTTTAAGATCACATATGAGCCAATCACAACTACCCTAAAACGAAAACAAGAGGCAGTTTCAGCAACCATTATTCAGCGTGCTTATAAAAGTTATCGCTTAAGGCAAAATGACAAAAATAGATCAAATATCCATATTCTAGATGGTGACGGAAATGTTCAAACTTCTAGAGAAGGTGACTATTTTGATAAAGCCAAAGAAAAGTGAACCAAAGACAGATCTAAACTTACCACTTCTTGGGCTTCATGTAGCCAGAAATATTCAAGCTCAAGTCAGAAATTAAGGAAAGATCAGAAAAACTGAGGTGATAATCCATTGTTTATAACCTGGGCTAATTAAGTGTGTGTTTGCATGACTCCATGCAAATTCACATTTTATCTTTACATATTCATTTTACTCAATCTATTAGGAAAGATAATCCTTCAAAATTGCTGAAGTGAGTTGAAGTGCGTTAAAGTTGCCATTTATCCAATGTTGTCTTCTTTATCTGAATTTTGTGGTGTATACCTCTTCTAAAAGAGTAGGGAGGTTCTAATAGAGATTAGCTGCAAAGGAGGGACTTCCTTATGTATTATATGTAAATGTATAACTTAATACACGTTTAATAACCGCATTAGGACCTAGTTAAATATAAGTACTATCTTATTTGTGGATGGTATTTTTAAAATAATGAAGTGTTTTAGACTATTAAGTCAAAATTTTGTCCTGACAAATGCCAGAGGCGGAAGGGCAAGGACAGTTCTTTAGAAAGTGCCTTTGAGATCAGACACAGAGACTGAAAAAGATTGGTTGAAGCCTTATTGTTTGCTATTAATGTTGTTTGGATCAATATTGTTTCAATTTCTCGGGCTCATAGTTTCTCTTCTGTTTAACTGGGGTTCCAGCCTAAGCTCCAGCTCTTCATGAGGATCTATTTACAGGACAAAAAGCATAAAGGGAACTGGTTATGGCCTACATTGTCTCATATTCTTTTATTTGCTCTTTTCTTTAAAAAAACACACATTTACTAAAATTATCATAATAGATAATATGTTAATAAGCTTAAGTTTTACCTTATTTTTAAAATTATATATTTTACTACTTATTTGTAATGTGACCTTAAATATGTAAGACCTAGTCAACTGTATGTCATTGTACAAATTTGAAGTGTTGAGAGCTACCATTATTTCCAGAGATTTTCAATATCTTAACCTGTAATTCAGAAACTGCCATTGCTTTGCAGTGCTTTTCACTACACTTTATAACTTTAAGAAAAAATGTGCATTCAAACTATGAGGACTGTGAATCAGAAAGTGACAGTTTAAGTTCATTGTTGTTTTATAATATTAATATAGCAAGTTAATTTTCACTTACTTAACTTTACAAGTAATTTTTACTTTGTGTCATCATATACATAATAACCCTGTAAGATGTTTTAAACACTTCAAAATTCTAAATTAATTTTCACTACTGGAATTCTTTTTTAAAAATAGTGACAAATTGTTTGACATTCATAAAATGGATTCATTTATATCCATGTAATTTGATTCTGATATTTATTTCACTTCTATGAGGACTGATTTCAATTACTTGCAAAGTCCTAAAGATTTCAAACAGAAAACATTTGCATTGTTGACTTAAATAAAAAGTTTAAGTATGTTGTATGGCATTTATTATAATTTACATTTCAGTAATTATATTTCATTATGAATGCATGTTCTTGAGCCTTAATTATTATAATCAATTTCTGCTCCTCAGAAATTTAATAACCTTACCAAAATGCCTTTGGGGGGATCCCCTAAATAAATGTATTTCAGGTGTCTGCTTTTTCGTAAAATGTTCCTTCCCTTTCTCCTGTTGTTCTCCATCATGTGCTGGGGACCAGCAAGGAATCAGTGTTAACTTGGCAACATGGTTACAGCTGGTGCTTTATCTAAGCTTCTGAGTTTTCTAGTTATTAGGAATGCTTTAACAGGGAGCTGCTTCAGATATTTAAGCTGAGTCATAAGTTGCTTCTGTAAATTTTATAAAAAAACAAATTTTTTAATTTGAAAATTATAGCTTTTACTGTAAACTGTATTTGCCAGTAACTTTACAAAAACTATGTAAAGAATTATTTTAACAAAGTCTTACAATATAATCTACATTTTACATACTATAGAAAATAATAAATACAACCTGATAACCACACTGAGCTTTGGGTTTTTTGTTTGTTTGTTTTTGTTTTTTCATGTAAGAAGTAAGATTGGCAACTTGGTGCAGTAGCATTTTTAAAGATAAGCTTTACCTGAAAGCTTACTTAATCAGTCTCCAAAATCAAAACTGGCCATACTTGCACATCCTTTAGATCATTTAATTCTGTAAAAAAATATTAATAAACTTATGAGAGGCTCCTATACATTTACCTAATGTGAAAAGCACTCATCAAAATCAATAATTTTACTGGATATATCTCAGTTTTTTTAAAATTTGCTTTATGGAAGTTAATGCCAAAATTAATTATGTCATTATGTTACTATTTATCAATTTCTACTCTGTAAAATTTTCTTCTTAAATAATAAATATAGTATACTTGAAATGGTTTGAAAGATGATGGAATATCTATGATTTCTATTGAAAGGACTGCTACATCCAGTCTTGTCCTAGGTATTTATCATGCATGAAGCAGTGGTCACTCTCAATTTATAGATTTAAAAAAATTAGACTTGGAAAAGTTACAATAACTTTTACATGACATAGAACATGTAAGTGACAAGGCCAGGAAACCAAACCAGTTCTACTTTCAGAATGCTAATTCTCATTCTCTTTTTTCCTCTTCTCTCTTTCTTCTACTCCCCTCCCCTGTTCTTGATGGGAGTAGTTTTAAATGTGGAGACAGTCCCTGTAAAAAGACAAGGTGCTATTTTTTTTTTTCATTTTTTTCTTTTAACATTTATTGAATGCTTGACACCAGGGGTCAACTCAAAGCCTGTCCACATAGAAAGATAAATCTTACACTCAAGAGGTTACTGAATACTGGAAGAAACCCTAACTACTCAGCTGAGTATAAAATAAGATCAGATTCATACTATTAGTGTAAACTGTAATATCCCTGTGTACACAGGAAAAAATGCTGAGTCCTGCATTGGAAAGGAGAGCTGAAGTTAGTAAAATGGGCCCCTGAAGAAGAAGGAGAAGTTTAGCCTTTAAAGAACATAATTTTATTCAACACAGGGAATTTTAAGAAGAGTTGCTCAGGAGGCTGGTAGCTAGGATTCCAGGGTATAGGTACAGCTGAAAGAGAGGAGCCAGGGACACGACAAATCTTCCACTCGAGATTAGCTGGAAAATGTGAGCAGAATTATTCTTTGTACCTGAGCCCCATCCAGACATAGTTAACTTCTCCTGTTTGTTCTTGAGATATGCTAGCTATAGCTCAGTTTTATTAAAATTTGCTTTATGGAAAGTAATATCAAAATTAAATATGTTATATTATTGTTAATCAATTAGCCTCTTGATTTAGATTTATCTTTCTATGTGGACAGGATTTGAGTTGACCTCTGCTGTCAAGCATCCAATAAATGTTGAATGAAAAAAAAAAAAAAAACAGCGCCTTGTCTTTTTCCAGGCATTGTCTCCAAATTTAAAACTCCCCCCACCAAGGACAGCAGAGAGGAATAGAAGAAGGAGAGAAAAGGAGAAAGAGAACGAGAATTACGGTTCTGAAAGCTGATCTACTTTGGTCTCCTGGCCTTGTTCTCTCTTCCCTGAAACTGGTGCTTTCCATGAATGCTGAGTCTGCATTCTCAGCCATAAGGGTCAATAGAGAGCTTGAGGGCCTTCCTCATTGGCTGGCCTGGCTCCACTCCAAGCCCCTCAGGTGGGCAGGCTGACCCTGGAATGTGGGAGGGAAGGCCTGTGCTGCCCCTCTCTGCATGCCGAAGAGCCTGCGGCATGGAGTGGCCTGCTTCCGGTTCTGTGGATCCAGCCAGAGCAGGTAAAGACATGTAGGAGGGCTAACTTAGAAGACAAAACACCTCATCAGCCAAATATGTTCAATTCTGTGATGAACATTTTGAGACCTCAGTGACCCCTAAAACTAGTCTTGATAGATAGTTCATGGAGATAATGCAACACTTTGATATTTGACCTTGATAGTCATTTGAACAAGAACTGAGGAAAGATGAAAGCAGGGCACTGAAATGGGGAAAAACATGACCACACTTCTGAAGAGGAACAAACAATGTCAGTGTTCAGAACCCAGGGAGCGGAGAGAAGACCTTTCACCTTGAATCCTTGAAGAGAAGGAAATGAACACCTTAAAATCTTTGTTTACAGTTTTGATTCTAATGGGGAAAATAAAACCTACCCCTGAGTGGACATGAGGCTGAGAAAATCCAGAAATTCTCTTTACTCTGGATCACTTTAGTTTGCTGGAGAACCAGATACATTCTATGGAGAGATCCTGAGAAAGCACCTGGAGACTGTGGTCATTTGCTCTGTTGGAAAACACAGCAGAAACGAATGGTAGAGATCAGTGAGCCCTTATTCAAAAAGAAACGCTCAAGGAAGTGACTCACTTCTTTCCCATTCTCACTTCCAACCTACTGGACATGGTAGGGGAGAGGACCTGCTGGTGTTGGTGAGGTTTGTTGATGAATCTCATAACCTGAGAGAGGGATGTGAATGCTTCCTGCATTCTGGAGCTGTTGGAAAAGTTTTGGCTGTGAAATTTCATGTTTGCATAACTGAGAAGTAGGGACTCAATGTGAGGTTTTGTCATGATTAGGCTTACATTGTATCCAGTGGATTTTCTTCCAAATGAAAGTTGTTGTTTCTTACACTTAGAGAAATATTCCCAAGTTACCTACACCCTCTGCTCTTCCTGTGCCTTAAATACTGATTGGCACAATTCAGCACCTGTCAATGGGAGGATTTGTGTCTTGAGAACAAGTGAGGAAGTTTCTTTTTTCACCAACCATTGCAATTGCTTTTAAAACTTGACAATGAAATTTCTGTTCTTTTTAAGAATGGTGAACAAAGGGGCAAGAACTAAAGGAAACCACTGCTAATCTCAGTGGCCAGACAGGCATAAAATTTTTGACATTTTATGGACCTCCTGCAAACACTTGTTTTATTTTAGATTCTTTAGATACTGACACAAACATTAGATAGAATAACTGTATAACTGGCCTACTATTTGTACTCTGTAGTATAGAAGAGATCTTTATTTAATTATTAAAATTGTTATCCTAAAAATGTCTCACCATTTAGAAGAGTCTGGGGAAAATCTCCAGGGAGCAGCCCTCTGATGCCTTCTCTGCCGTCAGAAGATTGGCTGGCGCCATGGCTCACTTGGCTAATCCTCTGCCTGTGGCACTGGCACCGGGGGTTCTAGTCCCAGTTGGCTCAAGTACTTGGCTCCTTGACACCCATGTGGGAGACATGGATTGAGTGCCAGGATCCTGGCTCGGCTTGGCCTGGCCCAAGTTTGGCATTTGGAGGGTGAGCCTATAGATGAAGATTCTATCTCTCTCTCTCTCTCTCTCCTCCCCCCCCCCCAAATGTGTCTGTGTGTATTTGTCTCTCCCTCTTACTCTCTGCCTTTCAAATAAATAAAAATTTTAAAATCTGTATTCTCAGGAAAGACTTGTGGTCCAGGGATACTGGCAATTGACTCTGCTTTCTTCTGACTTCTGACATGACTGCATCTAATGCCTTGTCTTTTTTTTTTTTTTTTGGACAGGCGAGTTAGAAAGTGAGAGAGAGAGAGACAGAGAGACAGTTGTAGAGAGACAGAGAGAAAGGTCGTCCTTCCGTTGGTTCACTCCCCAAATGGCCGCTACCGCTGGCGCTGTGCCAATCCGAAGCCAGGAGCCAGGTGCTTCCTCCCTGTCTCCCATGCGGGTGCAGGGCCCAAGCACTTGGGCCATCTTCCACTGCCCTCCCTGGCCACAGCAAAGAGCTGGACTGGAAGAGGAGCAACTGGGACTAGTATCCAGTGCCCCAACCGGGACTAGAACCCGGTGTGCTGGCGCCGCAGGCGGAGTTTTAGCCAAGTGAGCCACGGTGCAAGCCCCTTGTCTTGATTTATAAGCAAAACCTACAAAATAAACATTTTATGGTTTATACAGAAATAGAAAAATATTGCTGTTATTTTGGGTGAAGAAAATACATTTTATGTAGTTTATGTCAATCAATAAAATTTGATTTTTTTGTAAAAAAGAATAATAAAGAGCTCTGGTGAATAAGTGAGTGACCACTTCACAGGTGGAGATTTTCATTTCCATTAGATATATTGAAATTTTCAGGTTCCCTTATTCATTTCCTCATCCACATGTGAACTTCTATCATCAATGATTTAAAAATCACAAATTGGAACAAAGAACACCTCATCTCCAGCTCTAGATTTTATTGACCACCCACGTGACACAGTGTCCCTAGAGTCTGGTCTGGGTCACATTAAAATCAACATCTCAGGGCCCGGCGCTGTGGCTCACTTGGTTAATCCTCCGCCTGCAGCGCTGGCATCCCATATGGGCACCAAGTTCTAGTCCCGGTTGCTCCTTTTCCAATCCAGCTCTCTACTGTGGCCCAGGAAGGCAGTGGAAGATGGCCCAAGTGCTTGGGCCCCTGCACCCGTATGGGAGACCAGGAGGAAGCACCTGGCTCCTGGCTTCGGATCGGCGCATTGCTGGCCATAGCAGCCATTTGGGGGCTGAACCAATGAAAGGAAGACCTTTCTCTCTGTCTCTCTCTCTATCTGTAACTCTACCTGTCAAATAAATAAATAAAAAATCTTTTAAAAAAATCAGGCCAGCGCCGTGGCTCAATAGGCTAATCCTCCGCCTTGCGGTGCTGGCACACCAGGTTCTAGTCCCGGTTGTTGTGCCGGATTCTGTCCCGGTTGCCCCTCTCCCAGGCCAGCTCTCTGCTGTGGCCAGGGAGTGCAGTAGAGGATGGCCCAGGTCCTTGGGCCCTGCACCTGCATGGAGACCAGGAGAAGCACCTGGCTCCTGCCATCAGATCAGCGCGGTGCGCCGGCCGCTGTGCACCAGCCGTGGCGGCCATTGGAGGGTGAACCAACGGCAAAAGGAAGACCTTCTCTCTGTCTCTCTCTCTCTCTCTCACTGTCCACTCTGCCTGTGAAATATAAAAATAAAATAAAATTAAAAAAATCAACATCTGTAAGTGTATAGAGTTCCTATTCACACA